GGTGGGGATAGCCAGGGCATCTCAGAGGCTAAGTCACCAGGGCAGGAGGTCCGGAGGGAGCCTGCATGGCAGTTTGGCTTCCCAGAGTGGGGGCCAGGGGCTCCTGGACCTGCCAGGTTTGCAGTGCTCCAGGGGCCGTCTCGGTGGAAGTGTCCGGTAGAAACTGGGAAGAGAGAGAGCAGTGGGGCTGTGGGCTTGGGGTCACTGCATCAAAGTGGCAGATAGGTCCCCAGGGGAGGGAGTGGGAGAGGGACTGTGGGAGGGGAGGCTGGAGGAGGGGCTGGGGGCCAGGGAGGGAGCCAGGAGCAGCCCAGAGGTAGGGGGAGCAGCTGGGAGGCCCAGGGAGGAAAGGAAGATAGGAGCTAATGCTACCCAGTGAAAATACAGCCTGCTCTGAGCTCCTTGTGTGCCCAGGAGCTGCCGGAGGAGAATCGGAGACTGAGCTATCAAAGGTGTCCTTGGCTAAGAACAGAGGAAGAGGGAGGGTCCGGGGTGGGAGTGGAGCTGCAGGCTGCGGCTGGCTATCTGTGCAGGGACCTTGCCTGCGAGGGAACTGGATGAGCCCATTGTTCAGGTGGGGAAGCCAAGGCTCAGGACATAGCAGAGCAGGAGCAGGCACCCTCCCTCGTTAGCCCCTGGACGACCCTGGACGTCTGGGGCATGACGGTGTCACCAGATGGGGGGCGGCCAGGGCACTGACAGGCCAGAGGCCATGCTAGAGAGTGATTTCCACAGTGCGGATGCAAGACAAAACATAGCCAGGAAGCAAGAGGGACATAGGCATGACAACGAAAATCAGGCCTTGGGACAGTCCCGTGAAGCATGCACATGTTATATGCTGCTCAGTTTTGCTGTTCTTTGAGCATCTGGTTCACGCTGTTTGCCAGTTCTCCATTGTCAGTGTGACACATTTAAAGTGTACCTGCTCAAAAGTAAACGAATCTGCTAGAGCCAAGAGGTCTGTATGGCTGTGGCTTCAGGAAAATCTCTATTTCAGACAGCTTTCATACAGATTTGGAGTGCGTTTCTGATGGTTCCGATACATTCATGTGTATACAGCAGCCCATGGCAGTGTGTTAATTTTCTAGCATCCCTGTGGCAGAGTGTGGGGCTGGCTTTGTGTAAATTCCTGCTGACTGTGTGTAGCCAGGCGACCCCTGACACTGGCTTCTGGCTAGCCTCATGGAGGGGCAGGGGAGCAGGCCCAGGCAGTGCTGCTCGCTCTGGGCCGTGCTGCAGCAGGATACCTGCCCCCATACCTGGAATGGTGCCTGCCACAGTAGGGGTGCTCAATGAAGTTGTGTTGCATGAAGGAGAGAAGTGTGGCTGTGCTTGTAGGTGTTACCTCACTTGACCCTTCCAACAGCCCCTGCAGGTAGCTGTTGCTGGCCCATTTTACAGATGAGGAAGCTGAGGGTCAGAGACCACTCTGCTGTAGGTCGCACAGCCTGGGAGCTGGTCTGCCTGGCTGTAGAGCACACACTCTTGGTCTGCTGCCCAGGTTGACATGGCCTCAGTAACACAGGCTCATCTCACGTGCGGCAGACGCCCTCTGGCTGGTCTGCTTCTTCGCAGGCCCTCACACTGTCTTTCTAGGCTTGGGTGAGTGGCAGGCTGGGACAGAGGAAGGTCTGGGGTTGTTGAAGAAACAGAGAGTCCCGAATGGCTGTGCCTATGGGATGCCACAGGAGGGGACAGGAGGGAGCCTGAGTCCAATCCTGTGTGACCTTTAGCAGGTTATTGACCCTCTCTGTGCTTTAATTTCCTTATCTGGAACCAGCAACCTCCCCTTACAGGGACCTGGCACAGAGATGGCTCCCTTGACCCTGCCCCAGGCTGACAATCGTAAAGCTCAGGGACATCTTTTAACAAATGGGCTTGTGTTGGTTGTTAAGATTAAGATTGTGTCTGGTGCTGGGGAGGGCTGGGGAGGAGGTGTGAGACGGCATGCACTCCCGGGCTCTGGGGCTGGGCTTGCCGGCTGCACGCGCAGGCGGGGTGCGCAGGCGGGGTGCGCAGGCGGGGTGCGCAGGCGGGGTGCGCAGGCGGGGTGCGCAGTGCGGGGTGCGCAGGCGGGGTGCGCAGGCGGGGTGCGCAGGCGGGGTTCGCGGTGCGGCTGTGCTGGGGCTGGGACTGATGTCTCCTGCGGGGAGCTGGGCACACTTCATGCCCACAGTTCTTGGCTGGAATGTGCGGAGGAGGACACAGAATGTCCATGTCTCTGACCCTTTGCTCTCTCGCCGGGCGCCCAGGCAGCCCACAGGCCTCCCCAGGACTGGCCGTGGCAGAGGGACTCCGGAAGGCTCCCAGGTTGCTGGGAAACAACAGCCGTCTTTATCTAGGCTGGGCATGCTTCTGCTGGGCATTCTTCACGTCGGCTCCCTGAGGCTGTACTGTCTCTCTGGTGCCCCTGCACAGAGAAGCCTTTGTCCAGGTCTCACAGTGGTGGCCGGGCAGGGCTGTGAGGATTAGAGCTGGGCGGGGTGAGCCTGGAGTCTCTGCTCATCTCGCTGGGCCTTGCTGCCTCCCTTCCTCCCCGCAGGAGACAGCTGGCATTTTCACTGATGGTGCTGAGGTTCAGTTGTCTGGGTGCCTTCAGATGCCACCCATCCCTGTCTTTGCCAGTGGGTTGGAGTGTTCTCTGTGTTTCCCAGCGGGGTGTTCTGGGGAAGCAGCCACAGAGCCTCTCACGAGCTGCCATTGGGGGCTCTGCTGCCTGAGGGCTGTGCTGTGCCAGGGCCTGTGCGAGGTGTGTGGGGCACAGGTGGCAACGTCCTGCACCCGAGGTGCCTGGGGACCCAGCTGGAGAACTGGTCAGACCAGTTTGGGCCAGTCCTGTGGGTAGGGGCTGGCTGCTGGGTGCCAACGGGAAGGTGGACGGGAATGTGGAGGGACAGAGGGCTGTGGCCGGGCTGCTCTTAGGGTCCTGGTGGGAAACACATGTCACAATCAAATGGAGTAACTGAGGAGAGTGTAACAGGGTCTATTTAGGAAGGTGGAGGGGACTCAGGAAGTGACAGTAACTAGAATGCGGGGTCCAGTGTCCAGCAGCAACTGGCTGGTGGGAGTTGAATCAGTCCAACTGGAAGCCAGAGGGCAAGGAGTTCTCTCTCCGGGCAGAGAACGGGTCTGGCGGAGCAAAAGGAAGATGAGCCATGCTGTGTGCTCACATGGGCCCAGAGGAGAGGTCTGAGTTTCAGCACAACTCGAAAGGCTGGGGCTGGACTAATGTTCTTAGTTTGGCTTCATTTCTGTATCTGTGGAGTAAGGAATTCCAGGCCCAGAATTGCAGGATTTCCTGTTGATTTCTGACTTCTGCAAGGCTCATTGGGTCTTGTTTAGGGTCAGGTGTTGGGATGTCCTCCCTGCCACCTTGGGTGTGTGTTTGTTGGGAAGGAAACCAAGCCTGTCCTGACAAAATCCAGCCCAGCCCTCTGGGGTGGGTTGGGGCCACCAGTCCTCTGTCCCTGATAGCTTGCCCATTGCTGATGGCCTGCCTGGCCACCTGGTGGAGACCAGCGGGGAGCTGGGGAGGACTGGAGAGTGGCCCTGGGCACTGAGGCTCCTTTCCATCTTGGCCTCTTCCCAACTGTTGCCACCGTCCCTGCTTCCTCACCCCTCTGGCCTAAATGTGCACACAGGAGGAGGTGGCTTTGGTCCCCAGAGCACACCTGAGGGCAGGCTGAGGCATGCAGAAGTCCTGGTGAGGCCTGCTGAGTGGCCTTCCAGCCCTGCCCCTGACACATGGGTCCCCAAGTGGAGGAGAGAGGGCATTCTACCTGGGTGTCCTTCCCAGTTTCTAGTCTGTCTCCCTGGGGCAGCACCCGCTGTAGGGCCCACTGCCCCACCCCCACCCCTTAGGCCCTGAGAGGCAGCCCTCTTCTCCATGCTGGGCCCGTCCAAGGACCCCTCTTCCCTGTGGTTGACACCTTCAGGCTGGCCCTCCCACAGGCCCTCCTAGAGTCTCACCTGCTCAAGCATTCTGCTCATGGAGGCGCAGCAGTGGCCAAGTGACTGACAGGATTCAGTCCCCAGGAGGCAGGCCAGAAAGACAATCTCAAAGGCTCTGAGCTTGAGCGCCTCTCTCCAGCCACACCCTGGGCAGACGTTACCAGCCGATTCATCGCTGCTCAGTGAGTCCAGCCACCCTTCTCTGCCTTGCCTTCCAGGCAGCCACCCCAGTTCGCCTCCATGGGAGGTGATGCTTGAGACGGAATGTGCGCGCCGCTGTCCGAGCAGAAGGCGCGGGCGCCGGGGGCTCCAGAGGTTGAGGAGGCAGGGGGTGTCTGGGCCATACCCTGACCACACTCTTGAGTCCGAAAGGGCCCCTCCCGGGCTGGAGTGAGTGCAGGCCTGGCTGGCCGTGGGCCTTTGCCCTGTAGATCAGGGTTTGTTCCCCTCCTCCGGAAGAAAGCCCCCCACCTGCCCTGGGACAGGCAGCTGCACAGCCTGCATGAAAGGATTGACCCTCATCTGTCCCCGCCTGAGGGCCACACTCTTGCCTTCTCCGTGGTTGGGTGTTACATGTATTTAGGGGCAGTCGATTTGAAACTAGCTCATGGTGCAGAGGCAGGAACCCCCGAAGTCTGACCAGTCTGGGTTCCAGTCTGGACTCTGCCACCTGCCGTGTGAGCTTGGCGAGTTGTTAAATCTCACACTCTCTCAGGTGAAGGTCCCTCGTCCGGAGACGGTGGTAACAATAGCAGCTACAGGGTAACCCTGGGATTAAATAAGGGTGCGAATTCAGAGGTGCTCACCTGTACCTGGGTGACGCTCTACCCCAGAGACCCTCTGGGCCCTGAGGAAGGGCCATAGGCAGCCGAGGGAGCTGAGGTGACCGCTGACGGCCCAGGAGACAGCCCAGCGCCGCGCAGACCGAGCAGCCCGGCGCTGAGCCGGAGCGGTCGTCCTCACCCCACAAGGCGTAGCGGCGGCGGCCCTCCCAGCTGCTCCACCTTGCTCCCGCCAGGCCTGACGCTGCCTCCGTCTGCCCTCCCCAGCAACATGTCGGACACCTTGGCCAACGCGGTGTGCCAGCGCTGCCAGGCCCGCTTCAGCCCCGCGGAGCGCGTCGTGCACGGCGGCGGGGAGCTGTACCACGAGCACTGCTTCGTGTGCGCCCAGTGCTTCCGGCCGTTCCCCGAGGGGCTCTTCTATGAGGTGAGCGCGCTCCCGGGCGGGGGGCAGCGGGCGCCGTGGCAGGCCCAGCTCAGAGTCTGCCTGTAGGTGCCGCCAGGACAGGCCAGGGACTGCGCGGGCCCTGAGCCAGCACAGAGCCGTGCATGCCTCTCCTGCTCGGGCCCCTCCCTCACCTGTAAAACGTGACTTGTGCCCCTGGTTGCCGTGGGTGCCAAAGGAGAGTCGCCCTTCACCCAGCTCCTCTGGGCACCGTCTGGCAGGCCCTTTGCTGGGATCAGACAGGAGCATGGCGGCCACTCGGTCTGCCCCACGGTGAGGCGCTCTGGGAGTGAGAGGCCTCAGCGGGGGAGGGGTGCTCAGGGCAGGTGACTCGGGCTGACCTGAGGGAGGTGGCATGCACAGCTCTGCAGCACAGCTCTGCAGAGGCCCTGCTGTGGGAGCACACGGGCATTTGGAGTGTGGTAGGAGCGACAAGGAGAGGGCGGAGACGAGGGTGAGGGGGTCTCGTTTGCCCATGGGCCTCTGCTCTGCAAGAGACATGAGCCACACTGGGCGCTGTGCTGAGGAGACGCTGCAGGGGCAGGGATGGGGGACACCAGGGGCCCAGGCGCTGGATCTCTGCAGTCGTCACCTGAGAGCGAAGGGGCTTAGACTGGCCCCACAGCTCACAAGAGCAGGTCTTTACATCTTCAGCAATCTTGCAAGTTGGTTGTGAAACACAGCTATTATTAAAAATTAAATGATATAAACGTAAAATGAGATGAAATTTTATTAAAAACAAAGGTAACAAATACTCATAACATGCCACTTCCTAGTTATTTTGTTACATTTTAGTATCATCTATGTGTTTGGGGTTATTTCTGTCCCCCATCCTGACGTGGTGGCTACCGCACATCTCAGCTCCATGTTGAAGTCACGTTGCAGCTTGAAATTGGCCGTGGTGGGAAATGGCAAACACTACACATCAGCACCCCCGCCCCACCCCCAACAAAGAGCGACTTGTCAAACATTTACCAGCACACCGCTGGTGGTTGCAGTGGCAGTGGTGACCAGGGGTCAGGTGCTAGACATATTAATATTTTGAGGCAGAGCTGATGGGATTGGCTGGTGGCTGGATGTGGGGTGTGTGCTGTGCCCGGTAGAGGTGGGGCAGCCTTTCATCACGGTGCCTTCAGCCTCCCAGGAAATGCCGTCCCACTTTGGAGTCAGTGGAGGGGTAGGCAGAGCCCTGGGAGTGGTGGCCCTTTGCCTAGAACAAAGCCTGGCACACAGTAGGTGTCTAGGAGATATTGGTTGCTGAATGAGTTTAGACTCCTGCCTCTACAGGTCACCGGGCAGGCTATATCCAGTTGCACCCTAATAAGACACTCATTTTAGGGAACAGGGAACAAATAAACTCAAACAAAGAAATACAGTTGTTAAGGGAGAAGGCAGAGGCAGGCTCTGGCTGCACGTGGGGCCAGCACAGGGCCCGCACTGCCAGCGGCTGCCCAGTGGTGTGCGCACTGGTGTGCTGGCCCAGGACTCTGTCCTCCTGTGGCCTGCTCTCTAGGCCCTTCCAGTGTTGCCTTCCTTCTGTCCCCTCCCTGGGTCTTTGTGGCCTCTGGGGAGCCAGACTTCTCACCCAGAGAAGACATGGCAAGTGGAGCCAAGTGACGCACATACTTCAAACTTGGTCTCCACCCTCCTGGGCTCCTGGTCCCAGCCCTGCCCTGGCCTGCTCTGTCCCTGGCCTTGCCAACCTCCCCAGCTCCGCCCGAGGCTCCCCCCTATTGCACCCACCATCCCAATGGGCCAGTCCCCTCTGCTGGCCAGGCCTGCACCCGCTGCCCCAGCCTCAGCCTGAGTGCCCTCCTCCCAAGGATAAGGGCCAGGTCGGCTCGTGGGAACGATGAGTGGTTTGCTTGTCCTCTCTGTGGCCCTGTTTGCAGTTTGAAGGCCGGAAGTACTGCGAACACGACTTCCAAATGCTGTTTGCTCCATGCTGTGGATCCTGTGGTAAGGATGGCAACTACACACCCCTGCACTGCCTGGCAAGCGGGGTACGGGGCCTCTTCCCTGGCCACCCACCCTGTCTCTTTGTCAGCCTGCAGGCTCCGCAGGCCCGCCGGGCCAGGCTGAGGGCAGGGGGCGCTAGGGTGGACCATGCTTGGGGGGCCGAGGAGTGGGGCCACGCCCACCGGCCACAGGGATCTCTCCTGTCCCAGGTGAGTTCATCACTGGCCGTGTCATCAAGGCCATGAACAACAACTGGCACCCGGGCTGCTTCCGCTGCGAGCTGTGTGACGTGGAGTTGGCTGACCTGGGCTTTGTGAAGAATGCGGGCAGGTGAGGTGGCGTCCTGGGCGGGGAGGATGGCCTTCCTGCAGGCACCACTTGCGGAGGGCCGGCACGTGCTGGGCTCTATGCGGGCAGGTGAGGTGGCGTCCTGGGCGGGGAGGATGCCCTGCCTGCAGGCACCACTTGCGGAGGGCCGGCACGTGCTGGGCTCTCCTGCCTGAACGGATGTGGCCGCTGCCCAGCCCCTTCCCGCAGGGCCAGAGAGCAGCGCCCGGTTTGCGGGTGCAGATGGAGCCAGCGCCTGCTCGGGGAGGGCCCCAGGCTCAAGTGCTCCTTGCTGACAGCCTCTCGGAAGTCATCAGAAACCCCCCAGCCACCCCACCTGCTGACCCCTCCCCTGCCTGTACCCACAGATTGAGTGTCCTGGAGCAAATCGCTCAACCAGGTTGCCCGAATTTACTCTAAATTCAGGGCCACAGATTTCACTGTGCTCAGGGAGTTGCCCCCTCCCAGAAGGCTTGCTGTCTTGCCCTCCCTGCAGTGCCCCCTGTCCTCCCCTGCAGTGGGTGGCCTCACTCTCCCGTCCTGGGGCACAAGCTCTGGGAACCCTGCCCCAGCACCTGTGGCCCTGCCTCTGGGGCGTGGCCTGCTCACCCTGCGCCGAGGCAGGGCTCCCTTCTCCTCTCCTTCCCCCTTTGTAAAGGTGGGGCTGGGGAGCCCCAGGTCACAGCACCCTCGGGCCTCCCCCAGCACTCCCAACAGCTCCCCCCCGCGTCCCACTGCCAGGTCTGCTCGGGACTCAGACCTCGGCAGCTCTCACTGTAGCTGCTGAGGTGCAGAAACACATCCTCCTGGCGCCCGGGACCCGGAGTTCTCGTGGTTCCCTCTGGCTTCGTGGCTTCACCCACTCACTGTCCTGTTCCAGCGCGTGACCCTCCGGTCTCTCCGTGGTGGCTGTCCGGGCTCTGTGCTCAGCCCTGTGGCTGCCCTTGCAAACAGAGTCCAGCGCCCCAATGGCATGGATGTCTGGACAGCCCGAGCCCTCTGCCTTGCTGTCCTCAGCTGCCCACATGCCGTCTCCACTCCCATGTCCGCGAGAGGCAGCACCCCTCCAGAGACCCTGGCCACGCGCCCTGGCACTCCTTTCCCTCCTGGAGTTCCTCCTGGGTTCTTTGCCCATGCTGCCGGTGTGTGTGCCGCCCCACAGAGGCACGTGGCCACATCCAAATGGGGCTGTGGGGGCAGGGGCTGCAGTGCAGGGGCCGAGAGGCAGCTCTGGGACCTGTCCTGACTGGCGGGGTCACCGACCAGGTGTGTGCCAGGAGCGAGTCTGTCTCCTTCCAAGCCAAGGCTTGCACAGGGCACTGCCCCTTGGATTGGTTGGGGACGTCTGGAAGAGGCCAGAAGTGTGTTGGAAAGTAGAAGGTGACACAGAAGTACAGTGGTGCCTTCTGACGGGCAGAGCAGCAGCTGGAGTGAGGGAGGCACAGGAGCCCCGGCAGGCACGCGGAACACCCTCCAGAACCGCACAGTCTGCGTGGGGCAGACGTGCCCTGGGGCCGCCAGAGCCCTGGCAGGAGAGCCCGAGAGGCCTCCTGTGCCTCTGCCTGCTGTGCCTCTGCCTGCTGTGCCTCTGCCTGCTGTGCCTCTGCCTCCTGTGCCTCTGCCTGCTGTGCCTCTGCCTCCTGTGCCTCTGCTTCACTGCTCTGGAGCTGAAGGGAGTTCTGGGAAGGCCTCATGCAGGCCGCACATCGAACCTTCGTAGTCCCGAAGCTATAGTTGTGTTTATGATTGTACAGATGAGTGCAAAAAGGCCACGTAAGGGGACACGTGTGCCTGCAAGGGAAGTGCGCAGAACTGTGCATCTCTGTAGGGAAGGACACTAGCAGGGAAAGAAAGACCCTCACTGTGAAGGAATTGTTCCTCTGGCCCCGTTCCCCACCCCCAGCCATGAATGATGCCACGGAATGTGTAGGAGCCAGCGCAAGGAGTAAGCCAAGACTGTCCCTGCAGCGGGTGGCTGGTTGATCCCTCTTTTTGGTTCTCCCTTTTTGGGGGGTGAGACTGAGCACAGCTGGGTGACCCAGGGGCTCAGGCCTTGGACGGACAGGTAGGGACCTGCTGAGGTTTCGGGCTGTTTGCTCAGCAGGTGGCTGGAAGATGGCGGGCTTCTCCCGAGTAGCCTGGGGGAGCTGTCCTCCCGAGGTGGTCCGTGGCTGGCCCGGGTGGCGCGGGGCTCACAGCTCCGACCTGGCACTCAGCGAGCTCTCGTTTGTTTTCCCTTCGAAGCTGGGGGGTGGGCCTGTGAGCCTTTTCCCACAGAGCAAGCTGCACAAGGCGTGGCGGAACTTCTCGGCCACAAAGAAGTACATGACGGGGTCCAGGGCCCCGTTGAGGCTGGTGAGGCAGGAGGTGATGCGGTTCCCCAGGGCCAGGGCGCGCTGCGCGGCACAGGAGGTGCCACCGCTGCGGTAGTGCAGCACGTAGACAGAGCGGTTGACATGGTAGGGCACAAAGCAGACCAGGAAGATGGCCAGCACCATGGCGATCATGCGCACGGCCTTGTTCTTGAGGCGCTGCTCCACGCGGGGGCCCTGCCGCAGGCTGCGGATGATGAGCAGGTAGCAGGTGACTGTGGTAACAAACGGGAAGGTGAAGGCCACGGCTAGGGACACCAGGGCATGGTGGGAGGCCTTCTCTCGGTACAGCTGCAGGCAGACGACCGTGTGGTTGGTCTGCACGGTCTGCGGGCTCACCAGCAGTGGGGCCATGGCCACGGCCACCACCACCCACAGGAAGGCGCAGGCCAGGTGGGCGTAGAGGGGCCTGCGGAGCTTGAGGGACTTGACTGGGTGCACGATGGCCAGGAAGCGGTCAGCGCTGATGCAGGTGAGGAAGTAGATGCTGGCGTACATGTTGAGGTAGAAGAGGAAGCCAGTGAGCCGGCACGGGATCTCCCCAAATGGCCAGTGGTTCCCGGAGAAGTGGTAGACCAGGCGGGTGGGCAGGACCAGCACACAGGACAAGTCGGCCACGGCCAGGTGCATCAGGAACACATTGGCCGGGGTGCCTGACTTGTGGTCCCGGATGAAAAGCCACAGGGCCAGGGTGTTGCCAGCAAAAGCCAGGATGAAATCCAGGAGGTAGAAGCAGGCAAACAGCATGTTCTCCAGTGGCGTCTCCTGGCCGCATCGCTCCATGGTGGCCAGGGAGGCATTGGCCATGAGAGCTGGGGAGGCTACCTCAGGGCCATTCATGCTTTGGCTGGAGGCAGAGCCTGGTGCCAAGCCTGCAGGGGACAAGCAAACGAGTCATGGAAGCCTCACACTCTCCAGGTATCCAGAAGTGAGGCTCGGGTAGCTGCAGACCACGCCCCCAGCTCAGGGGCACTGCCTCTGAGACTGCTGAGGGACCTCCCTGTCCACCTGGGGGCGGGCGATTGTCACAGGCATTCTGAACTCCAGTGAAAGGCAAAAGCAAAACCAGGCCCTAGAACTCCCCGCTGCTGCAGCTACGTCCCTGCCTGGCAGGCGAGGGCCTGGCCTGGTGCCAGGTGGCCCGCAAGCCTGACACTCCTCAGCACGCTGTGTCTCAGTCCTCCCTCAGGGCCAGGAGGACGGTCAGCACCGCAGCAGGGGCGGGGCGAGGCCTGGGCGGAGGGAGGGTGGAGGGGAGGCCTGTGTATTTTGCTCAGCCCTAAGGTGTGCTGAGCGGCGGGGATGGCACTGGTGTCCCCAAGCCCCCTTTCTGATGGGTGCGTGGGTGATGTGTTCCTGAGTCCTGCCGGCTCTTCTTCAGCCCTGGCCTTGGTGGATGAGCCCTGCTCCTGCCTTTCTGACGCGCCTGCCTAGGCCTCCACGCCCTCCTGTGGCCGCTGGCCTCCTCAGGCCAGGGGCAGGAGGGCGCTTGCCTGTAAGATCGCCTTTTACCCACGTGAGGGATCCGGGGTTCAGCTGCTCCGAAGACTGCCCCAGCAGAGCGTTCTGGGCCGAACTGTTTTCCTACTGCTCCCAGGAAGTGGGATCTGTCCCTAGGTTGCAGTCGAGTGCACGTTCCCCGTGAGAATGCCAGATAACACAGTCCTCTGACTCGGAAGGGTCTCAGCTGACACTCCCAGGACTGCTAACCTGAGGTGAAGGGCGGTGGACAGCTGGGGGGTGCAGAATGTAAGGTGACTTTTGGGAACTCAGGCGAGTGCCTGGAGACAGGCTTGAGCGGAGCCCCGGGGTGGGCTGTGAGGGCCTCTGAGGGGGCCGTGGATGTGGGAGGGACGGAGGGGAGCAGCCCTGCGACAGGGTGGGCCTACAGGGGTAGGGAGGAGAGGGCAGGTGCTGGTGGGTGGGCCTGGAGACCGGAGACCAGATGCGCAGGGCTGCAGCCAGGTGCTGGGGGAAAGGAAGGACGACAGCCCAGGGAGGGGCAGGTAGACAGGTACGACCACCCACACCACTGGCATGGTGAGGGCCCGTCTGTGTTCGCTGGCACCAGCCCTAAGAGGAAGGCATCATTAGCCTCATTTTGCAGATTAGAATATCAAGGCTCAGGCGGGGCGCAGTGGCTCACGCCTGTAATCCTAGCACTCTGGGAGGCCGAGGCGGGCGGATTGCTCGAGGTCAGGAGTTCAAAACCAGCCTGAGCAAGAGCGAGACCCCGTCTCTACTATAAATAGAAAGAAATTAATTGGCCAACTAATATATAGAGAAAAAATCAGCTGGGCATGGTGGCACATGCCTGTAATCCCAGCTACTTGGGAGGCTGAGGCAGGAGGATCGCTTGAGCCCAGGAGTTTGAGGTTGCTGTGAGCTAGGCTGACGCCATGGCACTCACTCTAGCTTGGGCAACTAAGTGAAACTCTGTCCCAAAAAAAAAAAAAAAAAAAAGAGAATATCAAGGCTCAGCATGTGCTAACTTGCTTAAGGTCACTTGTCCAAGGAGCAGTGGCCCTGGAGCTGGGAGTCAGACCCAGGAAAGCCCAGGACACTGCCTTGCCTCTAGGGGGCGCCAGGACCGGGGCCAGAGCCGGGAGTGTGGCTTGGTGGCTTTGTCCTAGCTCTGGCTAGAGCTTCTGGGGCCTGGCTGCAGGACTGCTGCCTAAGAAGAGGGGCTGCTGCGCCAGTGTGAGCTGAATAGGTGCAGCCCGTTGCTCAGAAAGCAGAAATTTCAGGACAGCGACAGCAGAGCATTAACCCAAGTGGGGCCCTGTGGGACTGCAGGGCTCACACACCCTGCGGCTCTGAGCAGGACTCCCCCGGGACTGAGACTGGGTTCTGAAAACTGTCTGGGCTGTTTCTGGTTTGCTGACATATCTGTTTTACAAGTTCTGATACTGACTTTGCGGTATGATCTAAGATCGCTCTTGCCTCTCTCTCCCTTGTCCCTTACAAACTCAGACCTCAATCTGGACTCCTGTTCCTCGAGGCTCACTGCTCCGACCGACACCGAGCAGGTGACCTAGAGGAAAGGTGTGGGGGCAGCCAGGGCCTAGGCAGCTTCTGGGCCTCCGTGGAGGGGTGCTGGGCAGGTGTGGCTGTGGGAGGAGCCAGTGGTGGCAGCACTTTCCTCTGCGTTGGGCACCTGTCCCTCCCCAGCCCGAGGCTACTCCCAGGCAGGTTCCTTTGTCTGGCTCCTGCATGAGCCAAGGCTGCCCAGTGGGCGAGTGCTGGGTTCCAGAGGTCACTGCAGCGTGGGACTGTGGGAGCCACTTGCCCTCTGCAGGTACCCGACAGAGGGACAAAATCACTGGGGTGGGCCACTGTGAGTGCAGACTGCTCAGCCTTCAAGACACAAGTCATACCGTTATCAAAGAGACAGGGGCAAGAAACACCCTGTCTCTACCCGCGGCCGGCTCCCCTTCCTTGGGAGTCCCTGGGCTCCCTGCCCGCCCTGCCCAGCTGCCCCTTACCTTGAGCCAGGTCTGGGAGGAAGGGGCAGGAGTCTTCAGGCTGGCAGGTGAGCTGTGCCCGTGGGTGGCGGTGCCGTCGGCGGGTCCGTGCAGCTGTGGGAGGAAGGCTGGCTATTTAAGGGGAGGAAGGGAGGCCGCAGGCCCTCTGGCCCTGAAAGGCCACTTCATTCCTGAGGGGCCCTTGTGTAGCAGACTGCTCTTCTGGCTGCTGCTGCTGCCACCGGGGCTGTGAATATTCCAGTGTGTCCCCAGCCCGTCCCCCCAGCTTGGCTGCTCAGCGTCACAGAGGCTGAGTGTGTGACTGTCTTCGGAGCCTCAGAGTGGGCGAGGGCTGGTGGGGGCTCGGGCTGGACGGACGGACACAAGAGGGCGTTTCAGAAGGGGATGGCTCCTCCTGAGGGGGGCTGTCTGCCATGGCAACAGGCCAGTGCTTCCAAGACTGCTGGGCGGGCAGGAGGGGTCTTGTGAATGCCGGGGGGCAGGCTGAGCAGTCTTGTTTGGGCCAGTGAGAGGGGACTCTTTCAGGACACTTGCCGTAGGGGCCTTGTGTCCTGCCCTGTATAATTAGGCCCCATTTGGGCGTTCGGAATAAATCACGGGCTTTCTCTGGAGCAAGGCACAGCTGCGGGAGCCTCATAATGGGGTGCTGTCTCGCCTGCGGGGATGCGGCTCAGCCGCAGGCTGGCCCCCCTGCGCGGCCACCCTCTCTGGCCAGGGCTGTGGAGAGGCCCCGCTGCCTGCTGGCCCCACAACTCCTCCCTGGGTGGCTGGAGTGCATTTGGGTGACCAGTGGTCACTCCTGAGACTGTGGACAATGCTCGTTTCTCCTTATCTTCCCAAAAGTGATAAATCTGGTAACACGGGGAACCAAATCACCACTCACAGTTTCAAAAACCTTAAAATTTTTTAATGACAACATTGAAAACTGTATGTGGCTGGCATTTAGGGAGTGCCTACCATGTGTACTATCTTTCATTTGTCTCCCCACGTAACCCTGTGAAGCTGGGTTATTGCCCCATTTTACAGATGAGAAAACCGAGACTCACCCGTGGCAAACACTAGGAAGAGGCAGAGCCGGGATTTGTACCCAAGTGTGTGTCACTCCAGAACTTCAGCTTTGTGTATGCGTTTGCTTGTTTTTCTGTTACATTTTGAATCTATAATCCTTAGGTTTCACCTTAGTTTTACCTGGAAAAAAATTCTGAAGGTTGCCTTTAGATCTGGTGCTGCAATCGGGTCTGTGGAGAAGGTGTTTCCCATCTGGGGTTCCTTCAAGAGATCCAGGCTTCTCAGTTCATCCTGCCTGGGTGCCGGAGGCCTGTGCAGGTGTCTGAGCTGGCGGGGTCCCTTTCCCGTCAGGCCCCAAGAGTGGCTCTCAGTGGCTGGAAGTGTGGCTGTTTGCCACTGGCTGCCCTGAGCAGGGAGTTTCCGGCTCACAGAGCTTCTGCTACTGGGTGACCACTGCCGGTGGCCTCAAAGGCACTGACCATTGCAATGGAGTCGAGCTGATTTCTATAGCTTTGAAGCAGAGTTTGCTCCATGTGGGTTGAATGCTGTCCTGATGCCAAGGAGGGTCACCATGCCTGGGAGAAGGCTTATCAGGAGCAGATGCCCTGCCTGTGACAGAGACCGTGGAGGTGGCCGGTGTGGGGGGGTGGAGCACAGGTGTCTGGAGGGGGTGGGCTCCGGGGGTCACGGTGATGAAGGATGCAGCTGTAGGCCGCACCTGCTGCCCACTTTGGGGGTAAAGACAGCTAGGCTTCCAGCCTCGGCCACCTGCCACACCGAGATGATGCCTGTCGTCTGTCTCTCTGGCACAACCATTCATTCACTCACACGTTTAACAAACTGACCCCAAGCCGCTGCCCGTGCTGGGCAGTGAGGTCCAGTGGGGGCACAGCGGAGTGCCAGTCGGCTGGGCACCTCACTTGGGCCCTTCCCTTACACACCAGCTGGGATGATCAGACACCCCGCGGCAAGCAGAGTGTGGCCCTGTACAGGACAGAGTCCAGGTGGCAGGTGTGGGGCCGGGCAGGGGTGCTGAGCTGGCTGCCTGGCATCTGGGGTGTGCTCGCTGTAATCTGGCTGGAGGACTTGAGTCTGAGGCTTAATGTCCCGAGCAGACTCCCTGACCAAGTGTGCAAGGTGCCAGCGCTGCGTGTCAGGTTGCTGTGGAGGCCGTGGAGGGTGGAGAGGCTCCTCTGCAGCTTGGGGGCCTTGGGGGAGGACCCAGAGGCACCGGGAGCACATTGTAGATCAGGTGGCAGGTGGGAACCGGCAATGAAGGGAGTTGGATGGGGCCTTTGTGTGTTTTTGCCTGGGGACCCTGGATCTAAATTCCTGCCACCTTGGGGGCCGGAGGAAACAGAAACCATGTTGATTTCTCTCTCAGTGAGACCACAGCTGTTGCCCTACACAGGGAGCAGCATCGGAAATTACTCCGAGATCTTCACAAAAAAGACTCTGTCGTGGCAGTTCCTGGGTTGGGGGCCTCCGCCTGACATAGCCGTGCTTGTCTCTGGAGACAGAAAATGCCTGTGCGTGCCCAGGCCCCTCTTCATCCGGTGGACCCCAAAGGAAGGGGGTTCGCAGGCCCCACGGCCCAGCACTCACTGCCACTCTCCTGGGCGCAGGACCACTTGCTAAAACTTGTGTGTTGGGGACATTTGACAAATAAAACGACTTCGGCAAATGTCATTTAAACTCCTGCTGCATTCCACCCAGCGTCCTAGGCTCAGACGATGGGAAAGAGGAGCCCACCACGCACAGATGGCAGGCACAGCCCTTCTGGTAACTTCACTTCTGGTCTTTTCCCGAGCACAGGTTCCTTTTCCGGGACTCACCTGTGCCTTCCAGGCGGCGTGACTGGCCACCTGTGCAGGGCCCTGGGCAGGGGGTCCGGGGCAGGGGGCTCTGTCCCTAAGGCCCGCCCTCGCCTCCCCCAGGCACCTCTGCAGGCCTTGCCACCACCGGGAGAAGGCCAAGGGCCTGGGCAAGTACGTCTGCCAGCGGTGCCACCTGGCCATCGACGAGCAGCCGCTTGTGTTCAGGAACGACGCCTACCACGCCGACCACTTCAGCTGTGCCCACTGCGGGTAGGTCGCAGCCCGCTCTGCCACAGGGCAGGCGGAGAGCCAGGGCCGCCGGAGCCAGGGCAGGGCACGGTGAGGCGGCATAGGGAGCCGGAGGGTCCGAGGGGGTCTGGAGAGCGGGGCGCAGGGCTTCGGGCAAAGCGGAGCAGGAAGCGTCCCTCTCCAGGGCTCTGACTGGGGGCACTTGAGACTCAGGCTGGTGGCCCAGGCCCCTGGATTGCTGGCTGGGTGGTGAGATGGAGCGGAGGCCGGGTCGGGGGCAGCAGAGCGGCTCCTGGAGGGGCCTGTGCTGGCTGTGGGGTGGGGGAGAGACTGCAGAGCCATGGCCTGGTCCCCCAGTCCCCTCTGTGCCTGCCTCAGACGCCAGTCTGTTTGGAGGGGGAGGCCCGAGAACAGACCTGCCTCTCAGAGGCCGGGCGGTGCAGAACACAGGCGCCCTTCTGCCCGGGCGCGCTCTGGGGCTGTCTGGGGCACAGGAAGTCTTCAAAGGGCCCAGAGATCAGAGAGGGCTGCCTGCTGCAGTGCTCCGCGGGGACAGAATGGGGCCTCTCGGGGAGCTGTGCCCCAGGTGGAGGGGCTGGTGTGACCCTGCAGAGAGGCAGGGATGGCACCCCTGGGTCTGCGCTGTCTTCCAGCAAAGAGCTGACTGCTGAGGCCCGTGAGCTGAAGGGGGAGCTCTACTGCCTGCCTTGCCACGACAAGATGGGTGTCCCCATCTGTGGGGCCTGCCGTCGGCCCATCGAGGGCCGTGTGGTCAACGCACTGGGCAAGCAGTGGCATGTGGAGGTGAGCCAGGCCGGCGGATTCGTGGCCTGGGTTGTGGGGTGCCCCGGTTCAGGGTCATGGTCAGAGCCCTCCTGTGTCCCTACCCAGGCCATGTGGCTGGCTCCCAGCAAGGACCTTCCTCCTGGTGGCTGGCCCTCCTTGTACTGGCCCTGGCCGGGGACCCAGCCTGCCTGTGGAAGCCAGAGACCTGAGCCCACAGGGCGTGGCTGGGAAGCCCTGTTCACCTTTCCCCCCCCTCCTGGCATGCTAGGAGATTCCAAAGTCAGGAAACACTTTGGGGACAGTCTGCCCAGGGCACCCTGTGCGGTTGTGGTTGATAGAACCAGCTGTGTGCATGGCCTGTGTAGACATGGAGCTGGTGAGCCCCTCAGGTGTGTGACTCGGGTCACCTGATCATTTGGTCCCAGACTGTGGGCTATCATGTTCTTACAGACACACTTGGAAGGAAGTTTATGTGCCCAGGGGCCTGGCCAGCCTTGTGTCTCGAAGCTACGTCTTGGGCAGCCTGTTTGAGAAGGTCCCTGGCGCAGGCCCTGACGGCGTCCCCCGGGGCAGGCGCCTCCCCACTGGCCCAGTCCTGGAGGGACAGGAAGGCGCCCATGCTGTGGCACCTTGCTGGCACCTGATGCCCCCGCTGAGACTGCCAAGTGGGAGACCAGCTGGGAGAGGACGGTGACCTGCAGTGTCACCATGGGAGGTACCTTAAAGGAGGAGCTGGGTGTGCTGACCCCATGGCAGGGGTCCTCAATCTCCAGCCCGCAGACCACATGCGGCCTGCCAAGGACATTTATCAGGCCCTCGGGGTTTTTGCTGCTGCTGCCTGTCCTGCCTAGCAGCCGACTTGTCCCAGCCCTCATGCACATGTGTGGAATGTGCGCCGCACTCTCCAATGGCCCTCCAATGGTCTGAGGGACAGTGAACTGGCCCCCTGTTTTAAAAGTTTGAAGACCCCTGCCCCAGGGCATCCACGGAGGTGTCAGCCCCTCTGCCCAGTGTGAGCCCTGCAAGGCTACCACCTGCTCAGTCTCTGCTTCCTGTCTCCTGGGGTCACCACTGTCCCCTGGAGTCACCGCTCCAGCCCTGATGCCACCTGGCTTGCACTCTGTCCTCCCAGCACTTTGTCTGCGCCAAGTGTGAGAAGCCGTTCCTGGGACACCGGCACTACGAGAAGAAGGGGCTGGCCTACTGCGAGACCCACTACAACCAGGCGAGCCGCGCGGGCCTGCGAGGACTCGGGGTGGCGGGCGCAGCAGGGAGCAGGAGCGGCTTCAGGCAGACCCCTCAGGAGCCCTGTGGGGCGCTGAGCCCAGGCCTGTGCCCTTGGCCCTGGCTCCTGGCTTGGGGTCTGGGCAGCTCTCTCGGCCTCAGTGTCTTCATTTGAAAAACCTGCCCTTGTACCTAGGCCTGTTGTGAGGACCGAATGAGATGGCAGTGTGAGGTCCTGGGCATGGGGGTGACGGTGCCAGCAGCCGCCCCCTCTGCCACTCTGCTACAGAAGGCTGGGAATGCTGATGGGACGGGCCACCCAGGCCCACCCCTCGCAGGACACCAGCAGGATCACAGGGGCCTTTCGGGGAGCAATGCCTCAGCCTGCTGTCCTTCCCAGGGGGTGTATTTGATGGGCCAGGGGTCCCCTGTGCCCAGCAGGAAAGACCCAGGGGGAGGCCTAGGGAGAGGCCAGGCCAGGGTGCACTCTGGCCCTGGGCTGGGCCATGCCTGCCTGTGGCCGCACTGACAGCCTGCTTGGTCCACAGCTCTTTGGGGATGTCTGCTACAACTGCAGCCATGTGATCGAGGGCGACGGTGAGGCCCCTGTGTCCCCAAGCCCCTCCCTCCCCTGCCCTGCCTGCCTGTTCTCCTGGCCTGCAGCTGCAGGCCCAGCTGGCCCTGCTCCGCATAGCTGGACCTGTGGCAGCCTGGCCAGGCCTGCTGAGCTGCATGTCTGCCCCACAGTGGTGTCGGCCCTCAACAAGGCCTGGTGCGTGAGCTGCTTCTCCTGCTCCACCTGCAACAGCAAGCTCACCCTCAAGTAAGTCGGCGTGTGGTGGGTGCAGGGTGGAGAAGACTTCTGCCGGTCCCTCCTCCCATCTGCCTTGCCTGGGGACAGCCAGGCCCCACACAGCCCAGGGAGAAGGGGACGGGTCCGGACACCCAGGGCACAGTGAGAGGAGAAACACATGGGCTGGCTCGCCAGGCAGCCTCGTGGGGTGTGGGGATGGGCAGCCCCTGGGGCCCGTCCCGCTGGCTGGGAGAGGCTGGGGGCTGGGGGCCGAGGGACACCCACTCCTCTGTCTCCGCGGCCACCGTCTGGGGTCAGAGTTGGGGGGGCATGGGGCTCTGCTGATTGCTGGGCTTTGTCCCTAGGAACAAGTTTGTGGAGTTCGACATGAAGCCCGTGTGCAAGAGGTGCTACGAGAAGTTCCCGCTGGAGCTGAAGAAGCGGCTGAAGAAGCTGTCGGAGCTGACCTCCCGCAAGGCCCAGCCCAAGGCTGTGGACCTCAACTCGGCCTGAAGGCCCTGCCCGCCCGCCCGACTGGGCTGCTCCTCCCCTGCTTGCTGCCTTTTCCTGGCCACCCGCTTCCACCCTCTGCTCTTGGACTCCTCACCTCAGTTTATCTGTGTCCCCCTTCCCCCTTTCTCCTCCTCTCTGCTTCCCCGAGTCCCTTCCCTTCTCGGCTGGGGCCCTTCCCTTTCTTTCTGTGCAGAGGCAGGGACTGGGCGGGGAGCCTGTGACAGGCCTGCGCAGGCTCCTGGCAGCCACCTCCATCTGTGCCCATGGGCTTCTGGCTACGGGTCTCCAGGGGCCTGTCCTGACCTGTCCTTCCCCACAGGGGTCTTAGTGGCACACGCTCTCCTGTGGGAGCCCCTGCCCCAACGCAGCCCTGCCGTGTGCACGCTGCCATCTGGGGTAGCACAGCCAGGGTGGCCCGCCTGAGCCACAGGGCCAGGCCATGCAGATGGGGTGTCTGGGGGACACCCTTCAGCCCCTCAACACTGCTCAACCACGTAGCGCCCCTGCACCCAAAGTGGACCGGCGAGTCCTGCCACACCCACCTACGAGCCACCTGCAGAGCCAGGACCCCACCCACCACTCAGGGGCCTTCCTGAAACCCCACTTTGGCTGCCTGCTTCTGTCTCCTCTTCCCTGCCCCGGGGCCTGCATTGAGCCCTTGGGTGGGGCTGCTGGGGCTGGAGAGGACATGTCCTCTGTAGCCAGTGCAGACCTGGTGCTGGGGCTCACGCTTGCACAATGAAGGCCATTCGCACGAGCACAGTGGCCTGTGTGGTTTGTGGTAGGAGGGGTGGAGGGTGGGCAGTGGCTCCTGTGGACACACCGCTGCTGGGGTTGGTGGACAGACAGAGACAGACATCAAGAGGCATTCAGGCAGCCCCAGCCCCTGTCCTGCGCCAGGCTGCCAGCTGGGAAGCATCAGCCCTGGGGGCTGGCCCAGCGGGCAGAGTCAGGGGTAGGCTGGGCTGGGCCTGCTAGTGGGGGGAACCCAGGCTCCAAGGCCCCGTGTCCAGCTCTGCCCACTGCCTGGCCTTAGCACAAAGCCAGTGGCTGGAGAGCAGGGCTTCCTCCCTGGCCCCAGAGCAGTCCCCTCGCCCCAACAGCCTGTGGGGAGGAGGACAGGTGTGCAGAAGGGCCAGGAGGGAGGACTCTCCTGTGAGTGCCCCTCCCCAGGAGACCGGACGGGAGGGAGGAAAGCAGGAGAAAGAAGGAATTAAGTTATTCCTGGGGAATGCAGTTGTCCTCCAGTGTCCCTGGGGAAGTCACAATGCTTTTTGATTTTTCTGGAGACCCTCTCTCTGCAGGCCACTGTTCCCAGGTGCCCACCTGGTGCCCACCCCTGCTCCCTCATGGACACACGCCCACTGCTCTGTGGATTTTTATTGAACGTTCCACCGGGTGGGCCCTCCTTTGGCTCCACAGTCAGGGCCCAGGAGAGAGGGTCATCTGGGGTGCTGAGGTGGGCTGTGTGTTGAGGAGCGTGCACTAGGGGCTGGCCAGGGCTGGGGCCCGGGAACCCCGCTGCCTGTCCATGGTGCTCAGGAGCTGCTGCACGTATGAGGTCAGCAGGTCGTCCATCTTGTAGCCCTGGACAGGGGGCAGGGTTGGGTCAGAGGCCATGGTAGCAGGGAGGGCAGGTGGGGGTCCTGCACTTGGGGACTTGGTGGCATCCACCTTCTCTGCCTCAGCCACCAGCGGGGCAGGGCGGGCACGGGAAGAGGGCAGGTGGGCTCTGCTCTGCGGGCCACCGCTCTGCCTGCACTGTGGGCCGGTCTCCCGCCCAGCGTGGGCCCCGGGAGTGTGCCCAGCCTCCCTCTAGGGGCGGTGGGGACCCAGCCCCGGCGCTTCCTGGTCGTGTGTCTGGCGGGGAGGAGGGTGAGGCTCACCAGGGAGGTCTCACACAGCAGGCGGCTGCCGCGGCCCAGGCTCCCCAGCACCATGTGGAAGTAGGTGCTGCCGCTGCTCCAGCTGGAGATCTTGGTGAAGGGGTGGGTGGCGAGCAGGTCCTGGGGGCAGAGGGGAAGGTGGGCAGGGCCTCCCCAGCGTGTGCGCTGTGTGCGCTGTGTGCGCGTGTCTGTGCTGGGCGCAGGAGGGGCGGGACATGCTGGAGCAGAGACACAGCCCCACCAGCACGGGCGTCCCGGGACCTGGTGACCCCAGCCCTGCCAGAGGCCCTGAGTGCGTGAGGCAGCTACCTTGGTCCTGGGGTGGATGAGCAGGACCCCGTGTCGGTTGATGGCGATGAGGATGATGTCTGGGTGGGAGGGCTCCGAGGTTTGCTGGGAGGGACATGGTGGTCACAGTCCAGCAGAGGCCAGGCAGCACCTCCTCAGAGCCTGGGGCACACGCCCATGCACGCACACACACACGTGCACACATGCACACGCACAGACACCCACACATGCACACGCACAGACATGTGCACACGCACACACACCCACATGTGCACAGACATGTACACACATGCACACACGCCCATGCACATACGCACACACACAGACACGTACACATGTGCACATGCACAGACACGTATACACATGCACACGCACACATGCCCATACACTCACATACACGCGCATAGACACATACACATGTGCACACGCACACACACGCGCACAGACACATACACACATGCACACACACCCATGCACGCACACACGCACGTGCAGAGACACATACACATGTGCACACACCCACACACGCACACACACGCACAGACACATACACACGCACACATGCACACACGCCCACACTCACACTGAGACACATATACACGTGCACATGCACACACACCCACGCATGCACACACACATGCGCACAGACACGTACACACATGCACACACACCCATGCACGCACACACGCACGTGCAGAGACACATACACAAGTGCACACACACGCATGCACACACATGCACACAGACACGTACACACATGCACACACACACCCATGCACGCACACATGCACGCGCAGAGACACACAAGTGCACACACACACGCCCATGCATGCACACAGACATGTACACACATACACACACCCACACACGCACATATGCACACGCACACACGCCCACGCACACACGCACACACTCCCCAGCCTGCAAAGTGCTGAGGACAGCTGGGGCTGCGGGCAGAGCGGGTGCGCTGTGTGGGTGGGAGGCCGGGCCCGGGGAGGCCTACCTTCACCTCGAAGAAGGCAGACCCAAAGGTGGGCCACCGGCAGAGCCACCTCAGGAAGGCCACCTTGGCCTCCTCCACTGTCTTGTCCCTGTGCTTGTCGTAGGCCGGAAGGATGCTCTGTTGGGGAGGAGGCTGGTGAGGGCTGGGGGAGCAGTGCCCGCCCACCCGCGGGAGGAGGAGGGCTTGCGGGAGGAGGGTCTGGCGCTGGGGGTGCCACAGGGGAGGTGCGCTCGGTCCCTGCCTCCACCTAGGCAGGGGCGGCACCGGGTGGGGTCTCTGGGAGGGCAGCAGCCCGAGAACTCCCCAGTGCTGTCACTGTCAGGGACCTTTCTCCACTCTTCCGGGGACATGAGTCGCGTGAGGTTCTCGGGCACCAGTTCCCTCAGGATCTTGGCGACACTGGCCAGCTGGGACCGGTCATTGTCAAACTGGGCCTTGTAGATGAGGCCTGCCAGGTGGACAGCATCCTCCCGCGAGCACTTGTGGAACCCACGCAGGTACTTGGGCAGCTCCTGGGCGGTGGACATGCTGGCCTCAGACTGTGCCCCCGCCCCAGCCCCTCCTTCCTGCTGAGCCCACTCCATCCAGGACAGACTGGGCCAGCGCCAGCCCAGCCCAACAGGGTGGAGTTTTGGGTGGGGGGTGACCCAGAGTCAGGGCAGAGCCCTTGGCGTCCTGCATGGAGGTGGCCTGCTCCATCTGTGTGTAGCTGGTCCCTCAGGGCACGGCCACTGCCCTGGGGGCTGGGGGCTTCTCTGTCCCTCCCCTTCCCCGCAGTTGTGCTGTAGGTGCCAGTGCAGTCACTGTCCCCAAAGGCTGCTGCCCTCTGCTCCAGGACCCAGAACTCTCAGGGGTGCTGCATGGACCCGAGGCTGGAGCTGGGCATGGGCCGGTGCCTGGGGCGAAGCAGGTCCCACCCCTGCCTGCCTGCTTCTCCAGCCTCAGGGCAGGTGTCGGAGGGAAGGGGATGTCCCCAACGCTCACCAGGAGGGCAGCCTGCCCACTACCTGGTGGTAATGAAGTATGGTGTCTGCATTCACGTCCTTCCCCGGTACCACGTTGAGCCACAGTTTCCGCATGAAGTACACCTGGTAGGGGAGTGTCACAGGGGCCCCTGGGCAGGGGCGGCAGTGGGCACCAAGCCTGTCCCAGCAGGTGTTGCCGGCCCTGCCTGGCCTCCTCCCTGCCCCCACCTCTTCCCACCTGGAAAGCCCCCCCTTTATTCCTTGAAACCTGAGTGGGGGTCAGGCCCTGTGCAACTTCATCACCCTGCAGTGCGGCTGTGTGCCCCAGGCCTGTCCCTGTCCCCACACCCAGTGAAGCTGGGAGGCCCTCACCACCTGGCCCCAGGGCCTGTTGTGCCCACAACCCAGGGGACATCACACCCTGGGGAACTAACGAATGGGCACAGGCCATGCAGGAGGCGACCCTGCCCAGGGAGGCTGACAGCCCCAGCCGCGCCCTCCCCCAGCTCCACAGGGACCCTCACCTTCTTTCTGGGGCTTGTTCTTCTTCACCCAGTCAGACACCTGCCTCAAGGAGTCAAAGAAGAAGTCTCCCTCCTTCTGGCTGATGACCTGGGGCAGGGGAGGGTACAGGGAGGCAGGCAGGTGAGCGCCTTCCAGGGACTGTCCCCCTGGGAGGGCGCTGGGGCCTACCTCCTGGCAGGCTCAGGCTGGAGTCAGCCTGTGTGGGGGCCACCGAGGGTGGGGCACAGGCTTGTCTCCCAGGCCCCACCCACCTTCACTTGACTGCCCCGTCCCGCAGCGAGGGGCCTGGGCCGGCGCGGGCGCCGGCAGGCTGAGGCCGCCACTGGAGAGCCCTGCCTGCCGTCCCCCCGCGGCCCGGACGCACCTTGTCTGCGACCTTGATGAAGAGGCTGCAGCCCTCCCAGGAGGCCAGCTGCAGCCTGGCGGCGATGCTGTCGCACACATCCCGCACCCGCGTGCCGCTGCCCACCTCCAGCATCTGGGCAGAGAGGCAGCCGGTGAGGCCCAGAGCCCGGCTGGGGCCAGGGTGCTCCTAGGGCGGCAATCTGGGACGGGGTGCAGCCCCAGAGGACCCTTCACGCCTGGTGCTTCTGTGCCTTCATGAAGCATGCGTGGGTGTGCTCTGCCCCCAGAGGCACAAGCCCCTCCAGAGCGCTCACCAGAGGTCCATGTCCCAGCACTGCCGTCCTGGGCCTGGCCTTGAACTTGCCTTGAGAGCCAGGCTGCCAGACCATGGGAACTTCTGTTACAGGGACTGGGCCGCCCCAAGCCCATGAAGGCCAAGCTGCTGCTGGGAAGGGTATGAGGTGGCAGTGCGCACCTCTGCCCCCTTGGCCTGCAGGCCTTTGCCACCTCCTGCAGAGGCTTCTGTGTCACAGCTGGGTCCTGGTCTCTCCCCTGCTACCCCTCCCCTCCGTCGACTGCAGCAGCCGTGCGTGCTCTGTGCACAAGGCTGCCCGACCGTGGCACCTGCTCAGCGTGGCCCGGGGTGGGCAGAAGCCCCCAGGGGCTCCCAAGTTCTGGGACTCAAACTTGCTGCCACCCTCTGGCTTCCGTCCTGTATCTTTGGCATGGAACCGCCAACTCCCACCTTGGGACAGTCCCTACTTCCAAAGCGCCTGAGGGCAGGCAGGGCTGCGTCCCCAGGGAGGAGGGAAGGAGCGTGGTGAAGGTGAGACGGATCACTGGAAACCCTGAAAACAGCTCTCCTCGGTGACCAAAGAGCATGCTGGGTGGGTGGGGGGCTGCCTGCGCCCCCTTGGCCTGAGACTTGCTGTGGGGACCAGGGCGGGGTACTCACCTCGTTGGTGCTGTTGGGGAAGTAGACCTTGTGGCAGATGCGGGAGACATTCTGCTCAGCGGCCTCCACCTCCACCTGGTGTGGGGGCTGCTTCCGGGGCCCGGCCCTGGGCGGGACAATGCAGGCTGCAGAGGCTACCCATGCCCGCCCCAGCCCTGGCCTCCAGGTGGGCCCCAAACCATGTGCCAGAGACAAAAGAAGTAATACCCATGACCACTGCGGGGTTGGTCCCGGTCCCTCCCACTCCCCAGGGCTGCCCCTGCCGGGTGGGCTCACACATGGCCCCAGAGGGAGCGATGGAGGAGCTGGGCCTGGCCTCACCCCCACATGACACACTGGGGAAGGCCCAGGCCAGGGCGCTGGGTGTGGCCACGCTGTGCTCTCGTTCTCAAGTGACAGGGCACTGGGCAGGGCCTCTCTGAGAGGGTCTGCCTCACTCCATGTCCTCAGCTGCCGTGGAAATTCCGGCCACCCTATGGTCAGCCCACGCTCCCCACAGCCTCGGGAGGCCAAGCAGAGGCAGCCAGTGGGGGAGAACGAAGACGGCCAAGGAAGCACCTCCTGATGTGGGCCGGACAGGGACAGCCTCCCACCTAGGCCTCTTAGGTCTGGCAGGGGCCTCCAGGCAGCTCCCCTGCGCCCTGGGCGGGCCGTGGTGGGGCTGGTGGCTGTGACTGAGCCTGCCAGGAGCCTCCACTGACTACCCAGGCCTCCCTGCTGGGCCTCACCCCCACCTTCCTCCCAGGGGCTGGGGGCCTGGTCCTGCCTCCCCTAACTGACACCAGCCTCTGGAGAGAATGCTGAGTCCACCCTGTTGGTGAGGGTGCCTGGACCTGGAGCGCCTGGGTGGCCCAGGGCATGGAGGTGGCTGCTCACCTCAGGACCCTCTGGACACGGCGGCTGCAGTCCGGGGCCAGCAGCTTCCCCCTCCGGGTGTCTATGAACTTCTGGGCATGGGGCAGCAGCGCCTTGCTGGGCGGGAAGAGGCCTGTGCAGAGCCACAGCAGCTGCCAGCCCCGGTCCTCGCTGTGCCTGGGGGGTGGTGCCCATCAGCAGGGAAGGGCTCTCTCCAGGGCCCAGGCAGGCATCGGGGAGCAGGGACATGAGGCCTGGAGGGCCCACGGAGGAGGACGCAGGTGGACACCAGCAAGGCCGCAGCGTGCCGGCCACATCCAGCTGCCCGACACCACAGGGCTTTCTCACCCTCAAGACGCAGAGGCCATTGTGCCTATCTTGCCCATTCGAGCCCAGAACACTAGGCTCAGAGAGGCCACAGCCCACTTAGGTCACACGGAGAGAGGGTGGGGGTGGGCAGGCCCTGGGCAGGGCTGTTCCCTCCTGCTCTGACCACTGCCAGGACGTCAGCAGAGCAGACCAGGACCCAGCCCTTCCCACTGCTGCCAGAGGTGCTGGGCAGGGGTTCAGCCACCATGAGCTCCCTGTCTGAGCTGCGGCCCCAGCCTCGGGGGCTAGGATAAGAACTGGGCACCCTCACCCGCCGTCCCTAGCAGACCTGTTGGAGTTGTGGGTCAGCTGCTTCAGGATCTGGCAGTAGACCTCGTCCTGTAGGGACGAGTCCTGCAGGGCCAGTGAGAAGATCTGGTCGGTGAGCTCCAGGGTGGGCCAGGCCTGCCGGGAGGGGTAGTCACCCATGTACCTGAGGATGGGTGTCCCTGTCAAGGAGAATGGCGCTGGGGGTGGCCCCAAGCTGACCCCTGACCAGGCATAAACACTGACCTCTGGTTCAGGCCCCACACTGACCCCTGACCCAGGCCCCAAGTTGACCCCTGAACAGGGCTAGACGCTGACCCCAGCCCTGCTGTGAGCTGCGTGTGGGCTCTGCCCAGCGCTCTGGGAGGTGGGGCCTGGCCCCTCATGGGGCCGCTGTGGGGCTTGGAGGGGACTTGGGTGCCCATGTCGGGGGGCTGGCGTGCGGCCGGGGCAGGCCGGCTGGGGAAGGATATCCACGAAGATCTGGCAGGCGATGTCCCGGAGGTCAACGTTGGCATGGACACGCTTGAGCAGCGGCTGCCGCAGTGGCTCAGGGGAATAGGCCCACAGGTGGCCCCGGGCGCGGGCCAGCGGCAGCACGGCTCTGCTCACAGTCCCCTTGTCTGGGGCCCTGTCAGGGAGAGAGGCCAGCGTGAGGGCCCACCATGAGGCCTTCGCTGCCCCACACTTCTCTGTCCTCTGTCCAACCTCCTGGGATGGCTGTGGGAGGGTCAGAGCGGCCCCTCCCTGCCAGGAGCCCTCCTGCGTCCCTCGCCCTGGGGAGGCCTCCCTGCAGCCCCCAGGGGCACTGAGGGCAGTGGCACCTGAAGAACTCATAGGAGAACTCCTCCAGGGTGTGCGGCTTCTCCCCGGGCTGCTCCACGGCTGGGGGCTGTGCAGGCTGCCCCTCCTGGGCTGCCAGCCTGCGCTTCTCTGGAGACATGGCCAGCAAGCTCTGGAGGGGCACAGGCCTGTGGGTGCCCAGCAGCCACTGCCCACCAGGCCCTTCCCGTGGGCTCCTCCTGGCCTGGCTGCCTCGGTGATGCAGGAGGCGTCAGACCCAGTGCTGGACAGGCCGGGGCCTACTCATTCCCGCGTCGCCCACTGTGTGACCCAGGACTGTGACCCAACTGCCCAGTGCCTGTTTCCTGTCTCTTAGCAGGGTTGGTGCCAATGGCTACAGAGCCCAGACCTCCTGTTCCAGGGGTCACAGCCACTCTGGGTTTCTCAGGCCTCAGGTCCCCTTCCTTGAGGCCTGTCTCCAGGGCCACCTACCCAGCCCTGTCTGCCTGTGCCCCAGCTCAGGCTCCAGCATGCACATCACCCTTGGGGATGTGCCCTGTTACCTGCTCCTTGCCTCCCTGTGAGGCTGGTCTTGGGGGCTGGACAGATGGCTCTTGGGGCAGGGACACTTGGGTGCCTTTCGGTCAGGGTGCAAATGAAGCAAAGGCCGGGAACGGCTGGGTATGTTTCCAGGATGCACCCAGGGTGGGGCAGAGGGCGGGAGCACCCATTTATTGAGCACCTACTAAGTGCCAGGTACTGGGCCGGGCACTGTTCACACACTGTGCCAGCATCACGATCACCCCCAGGGCTGACCTCAGGCCCGGTAAGCCCTCCTGGCCCTCTGCCAGGTGGGCTGCAGGTCCTTGAGCTAGGCCCCTAGCTGGCCATCCCAGGCCACCCCCCATGCTGTGAGATACCAGCAGCTGCACTGAGGGCTTGGTCACTGTGGGGATGGCGTAGAGGCAGGCCGTGGGCACTAGCCCCGTCTTGCCCGTCCTGTCGTTTTGAGCCAGGGTCCAGTTTTCAGAGGCCAGAAGTCCCTGCTTCTTTGTCAGGACCAACAAGTCCCCCTTCTTGAAGGGCAGGAGGGTGGGATCATCTGCAAGGCCAGGGCACAGGGTCAGAAAATCCATTTTCTGAGGGCTCTGCAGGGGCCAGAGGCTGTGCTGCCATTTCATGGGTTGTCTCCTTGGACAAATGAGGAAAGTAAGGCACAGAGCCATCAGCATGAGGCCACTCCAAGTGTGAGTGGTGGGGGGTTGGAATCTCAGGGCCCCAGAGGGCTGTCACCTGCTGCACCTGCCCAGGTGCGGGGCCCAGGGTGGGCAGGCTTCAGGGGCTCTGCCACAGCCCCAGCCCTGGGGAGTGTGCTCCCTAGCCCATTTCCTCTTCTGTAAAATGAGGAAAGCAATGATCCCTCCCTTCTGGGAGGTGGCGAGGACGGAGTGGGCAACAGGGCAGCGTCCTGGGCTGACTTTCTCACCGCTCTAAGGCCCCATGCACAGCCCCTTCCTCTGTGTCCCAAAGGGCCCCTCCTTTCTGAAGCTCCTGCACTGATGGCACCAGCCCACTGCCCGTGCTTGCAGCCAGCAGCCTAAGCCTGCCTGGGGCTTAGGGGTCCTGGGGTCCTGGCCTTGTCACCTGGCCCCTCTGCCCGCAGCCCACAGCCCAGCTCTGGCTGGAGCGCTGGCTTGTGGGGAGCTGTGGGTGAGAACTAGGCTCCCACCACTGAGCTGTGTGACTTTGGGCCAGCTACCTTCCCTCTCTGAGCCTCTGGTGCCAGGCCTGCACAAAGGGCAGGGTGGCTATGGGTTGGGGCCAACTCTTCCCGGTGCAGTCCTGAGCAAGATCGGCCTTGGGGGTTTGAGACCACCTCTTTCAACTCCCTCATTTAGTAGAAGAGGAAACAGTGGCCAAAAGACCCAGGGCCTTGCCCATAGCTGTCCCCAGCGTCCCAGAGCCCTGCTCTCTGCCACACAGCTGCTGTGCGTGGAAGGAAGCCTGCTGCCCCTTGGGTCCCACGCACTGTCCCTCGCCCTGCCCCACCCTGCCGGGCACCTGTGGCCTTCCTGTCCTGCAGGGCCATGGCGTGCACGGATCTCTCCTTCAGGCCCTCCAGGAACAGGGCCACGAGCTCAGCGACGGCCACGCTGCTGGGGGACAGGAACTCGTAGTCCTCGTGCAGCGTGGTCAGCAGCAGCCTCTGCCCGCCCTGGGCCTCCCTGGGGAGGAAGGCTGTGTGACCAGGGCCGCCTCCACCCCGCCCGCTTCAGCCCTCCTGACTTACAGACCAGGAAACAGGAGGCTTGTCCGGGGCTGGGGCCAGGCCAGGCACCACTGTGGGTGGTGGGCAGATGACGGCCCCTCGGGCCTCGGGGGCAGTGGGTGGTGCCCAACCGAGAGTGTGGGGTTGGCTTTGGGCAGGTAATGAGGTGGCCGGTGTGCAGGGACACCACACAGACACTAGGGAGGTGGCAAAGAACATTAGTGCTGAGACGAGTTGCTGGCTCTGCTGTGTGCTAACTCTGGGACCCTGGCCACACTCCCCAGCCCGTGTGTGCCTCAGTTTATGCATCTGCAGAACTAGTGGCGCCGTGAGGGCTTCGTGGCACACACAAAAGTGCCCTGTGTGCTCCGCCTCAGGGGCACAGCCTGCTGGTCACAGTTGTGGTCATGCCACCGTTCGCTGTGCTTTACCAAGCGGGCTGGCAGGGCACAGGCAGGACTCCCCGAGGGGCCTGGAGGAGTCCACAGCGGTCTCCTGAGCAGGGAAGCGCCTGCTGAGTGCACGCTTCATGCCCTTTCTAGAGGGTCCACGCCCCGAAGAGGAGAGGCCAGGGCATGTGCGGTGTGCGAAGTGCTGAGCAGGCAGTGTGGCCCGGCACAGGGGGGCGCCCAAGTCCAGTGGCCATGGCACATGACAACCGTGCCCCACCACCCTGGCCCGGCTCCAAACACACTACCCCTTCTTGCTGTCTCTCCCTGAGCCCCCAGATGCACCAATTCCAAGAATTCAGTTTGTGAGAAGACCTCTTCCCTCGGGGTCCCCACCTGTTGGTGGCCAGACCCATGATCTCTGGGAAAGAGAGTTCCAGCAGCATCTTCTCCCGCTGGTCTAGGAAGTACAGCCCCTTCCAGTTAACAGCCAAGACGAGCGGGGTCTTGGGCAGGCCAGGGCCTAGGCGGGGGAGACAGCAGAACAAAGGTCATGCTGGGCCCCTGGTGCCCAGCCCACACCTGCCCCAGCCCATCAGGTGCCATTACCAGAGAGCGTGGTGACTTCAAAGAGCCGGGAGAAGAGCAGTGGCCACTGCAGGCAGGCGGCGTCCACCACCTGCTCCTGCACGGCCAGCGGTGTGGCCTGCGTCTGGGTGTACGGGGCCTGTGGGCGACCACAGGCGTCACCACAGTGGCCCTGTCTTCGCTGGCTAATCCCTCACCCAGTGCTCAGGGTGGTGAGCTGGTGGTTCACTGTGATGCTTCTATCTAAGGCAAGGCCTGCCTGCGGGGGCCTTCTCCAGAGATGCCCCTGAGGTCTTCCTGGGGACTAGTGCAGCCCTGCTGAACCCTGGGTGCCCTTCTAGGAGGTGGTTTGGGGAGAGAAGAAGGCCTTCCCCTCTTCCTCATCAGGGTGCCCCGGCTGGGGTGGGGCTGCAGCTCGCCGCGCTCAGCACGGAAGTTGCGTGTGTCTGCGCATGTGCGCTTGGGCTCCTGCCCACACCTGCCTGCGGGTCTGTGCCCAGCGCCCTGCAGGAAGGCCACCCTGCACGGTGCTGCCCGCTGCCTGTCTCCTCTGGAGTTCTGCGTATTGGCCTCTCCCAGGAGCTCGCCTCAACCTTCCCTCTCGCTCCTCGTCTCCAGGTTTCCTTCTCCTTTCTGGACTGTTCCCCACCTTCCGTCTCCCCTCCTCCTCCACTGCGCTGTGTCTGGAACTGGCTGTGATACCCAGCTGAACTTCCAGCTTTTGAAAGTGGCCGAGTAATATTCACATGCTGGCTTTGGGAATGTAAACTGATGCATTGCATCCGAAGGGAAATTTGGCACTACGCAACACATATCAAATATTTAGCACGTCCACACGCTCTGATCCAGGGGTTCCCGTGTGCCCAGTGAGGGGACACTGAGAGGCCCGGGGGAAGGAGGGCAGCCCCTGAGGGCAGGACCGATGCGGAGGCTATGGCACGGCCAGTGGCCAGTGGCCAGCAGCCATGGATGAGCTCTCATGCATAGAGGCAAGGGCCCAGTGGGATGCCACAGCAAGGATCAGCATGGGGACCCATGCCAACTGGGAAGGAAGGAAGACGGCAGCACAGGCCTGTGACAAGGATTTGAACTGGGTGGGACTGTTTGAACCTGAAGAGCAGGCTACACTTAACCGTCAAAGCTAGGCTTCCTGTCCCCTGGGGGTGGGGCTCGTGGGGAAGGGATCCATCCTCTGCACACCGAGGGCCCCACCGCCCCAAGGGGAGCTCAGGGCTGGAGTGCCCAGGCTGCGTGCAGGCTGACCTTGGCGTAGGCAGCAGTGACGAGGCTAGTCCACTTCTCGGGGGGCTTGGTCCTGTACAGCTTGGGGGGGAGGCAGCTGGGCAGCAGCTCCTGGATAGCCTTGTCCCCCACCGAGGCACCGAGCTGCACATAGCAGTGCCGGGCCAGCAGCTCCACCAGCCCTTCCTCCTGCAAGGCAGGGGGAGGGCAGACAGGTGAGCACCCACCCTTACCCAGGACGCCCTTACCCCGTGGCCCCACTCTTGCCTCAGTGTGGCGGAGCTGGCCAGCAGCTCAAGCAGGACATGGGCAGCCACCCTGTCCCACCACCTCCACTTCCTTCCCCAACTGAACCACCATATGCCCTGCCTAGGCCCCCACGCAGGCCCGCTCCGCTGGCAAGGCAAGGGGTGCTCCTCGGAGCTCCTGGGCGGAACCTGGACGCTGCTGCTGTGGGTGGGGTGAAGTGGGCAAGGCCTATCCCTGTCTGAGCTCCAGTCCTCACTTGTCCAGGGAGACCCGCAGCTGCTGCTGGAGGGCTTCTGCAGGGACTCAGCCGCAGGAGCGAGCGTCCCAGCGTGGCCTAGCACTGGAAGGGATCCAAGCAGCCCATTCCAGAGAGACCAAAACCTTGCAGGGTGTGGTGCCCCTGTGGCTCCCTGCCTGTGCCCATTCCAGATGGCCCCATAGCAGCACCGTCCTGACAGGGCACAAGGAGGTTTGCACCTGCTGCTCCCAGAACCGCAGGTGCACGGCCACCCCCGACTCTCCAACCACCCTGCAAGAGCTCTCAGTCCTCCCTACACATCCAGATGAGGGCCTGCAGCTCATCGAGGCGACAGAATTTCCCAAGGTCACACTGCCAAGAAGAGGTGGAGGTAGGACTTGAACTCAGGCCCTAGGGCTCCAAGGCCACACTCCTGACCATCAGGCCTTGCTGCCCCATAACCAGGGCTGCCACGGTGCGGTAGGTCTGGGCCGACTGGGAGGCCTTCCCTGCCTGTCGCTGCTACCATGACCCCAGAGGCCTGGGCAAACCTGCGGCCCAAGGGAAGAGGAAATGGAGGCTGGGCCTGGAAGGGACAGCATCCTGCACCCCACGACCCCCTCCCCACCCCCGTTCCGCTGCCCCCCTGCCTCCCGCCCTCCACACAGCTTCTGATGCCAGCTGGGTGCTCGCTGTGGGGTGCTCTCTGATGGCCACAGCTGGGCTGGACCTGGGATGTGGCTCTTCCTGAGGCCCCTCACCTTCTCGAAGCTGTACTCGCCGGACCAGACTCCATGGAGCACTTGGCGGTAGATGAGCTTGGTGCTGACGGGGTCCTCCTGGGAGTCATGCCAGGGCGTGAAGAACTCCTTCCGGAAGTAGATGCGCCAGGGGGACTGGCGCTGGCTCTCACCCCTCTCCTGGGCCAGCTGCTCACACTGGGCGATGGCATCCATCACGTGGTCGCGCCCACTGCCCAGGGACCAGAACTGGGGCCACAGTCGGGCGGCAGGGTTAGTGGCTGCTGTGCACTCCCGGCCCACAGGGATGCCCGCCCTCGGCACACGCACGCGTGGAGACCGAGACCCAGCCCCAGCGTGGACCCCGAGGGCTTCCCCACACGGGCGGGGCCTGCCCCACTCCTCCCCGTGGGTTCGCAGATGGGGGCTTCAGTGCCTTGGCTGGCTGGTGGGTGTGAGGGACCACCCACTGGGTGTCCAGGTGGGCGGTGACGGGGCTTCAGGCGGCCTTGCTGGCGCGCCCCCCACATCTGCGCAGGGTGCCCGCAGCTCCCAGCATGAGGGAGGGTGCGGCAGGGGAGTGGTGCCAGGGCCTGGAGCCACGCATGGCGGCCAGGTGGCGGGGCGCTGGCGAGCTGTGCGTGGGCACTGCTGGGCTGAGGGCGGGCGGCCTGCCGTGTGTTCGGTGGCTAGGAGGGCCAGCGGGGCCTGGCTGGCGAGGTGCAAGGGCTCGAGCTTTGGGGTGCTTTGCCCGGTGCGTGAGGGAGGAAGATGATGCCTGGCCAGTACCTTGTCGTACACGGCGACCTGGAGGGAGAAGCCCAGGTAGTCGCTGAGGCCCTGCTTGCGGGCGATGTGCAGGCAGATTTCCCTCGATGTGGAGGCCGAGTCGACAGTGACGGTCAAGCTGTCCCCGGTTACCATGATGACCTGGATCGGGACGTGCTTCTTGGACTTGACAGCCTGGGGGTAGAGGGAGACTCAGGCCCTACCCAGCTGCCTGCCTGCGAGCTCTTGCAACCTGTAGCCTGGAGGCCAGTCCTCGACCCCCACCCCTCTCCCTGATCCACCACCCCCTGCTTGCCCTTCCCCGGGGGGTCTCGGGGCTCCCGTGGTGGCCACAGCTGGCATGGAGAGCAAAGCTCAGGCTGACAGGGATTCGTGCTGGGGGGATGGCGGTCAAGCAGGAGCCACATTAGCTGCGCATCCAGCCATTTGGTGCTTCTCCAGGTCCACCTCGGCAGCCCTGGGGGTGCTGCCTGCAGGCTGGCACAGCCCCAGTTTCTGATGAGAGCCCTGAGCTTGGTGAGGTTAAGTGACTTAGACTCACAGAGGTGACCTGCAGCCCCTGGGACAGGGTCACAGAGATGAGCACCTTCCAGGCTGGGGCTGGACCAGAACTTCGGGGAGAGCAGGGTGCAGGGACCCCCTCCTGGCTGTTCCGAGGGACCCTTCCTGAGGACACTGTGATAACTCATGGGTGACGCAGCTGCCAAAGCAGGATGAGGTAGCACCTGCTCCCAATAGCAGAGCCACCAAGGACAACAGCCTTGGCATGACCACTGCCTTCTTTGCAAAGTCAAATGCCCTGGGAGGGCCGCATTTGGAGCAACTGGCCCAGCACAGTGCTGATGAGTGGGTCATATGGCTCTTCCCTCCAGCTAGTTGGGCCCTGAAGGAACGTGGGTCTAGAGGTGGAGGCACCTCTGAAGGCTGGGGAGGCCACGCCCCATGAAGGGGGGGCTCCCGGGGACCATTGGCCTGGGAGGTAACACAGAGGAGACAGAGGAGCTTGAGGACAAAGGTCTTGTCTTGGGAGAAGGCACCCCACTAGCTGTATTGGGGGGCCTGCAGCCCCTTACCACCCACTTCCCACCCCTGCCAGCCCCTACCTGCAGCTCCAGCCAGGTGGGGGGCTCCGTGCGCATCCCGTTGGTGTAGGTGCGTCTCAGGCGCTCAGCACAAAAGGGCCCGTAACCCGCCGGCCCTCGACCAATGAAGTTCAGGAGATACTGGGGGGCGAGGAAGGGAGAGGGGCAGATGCTCAGGATGAAGCTGGTTTCTACTTACTGCTCACTCGGATCTTAAAGTGATGACACTCAGTTTATAAAGACGCGCTGAGCCGCGCACACACCTCTCGGGGAGAAACGCAGGCCAGACGTCTCTGAGGAGCGGTCTGGCAGTGTGTTTGAAACAGTGCCGCGTTTTAGAGCACGCCTGGCCCAATGGCTCAAACCTATCCTACGGTAGATACACACATGTGGTCACAGTGGTATCCATGGTGATGAGTGACTGGAAGACGGCCCCGCATGTCCACCCTAGTCCAGCACCCTCTGGAGAGCCAGGCGTTACCACTGGTGTTGGCGAGGTTCACACCATGAGAAAACATCATGAACGTGAGTGAAAAATGCAGACGAGTCAACACCCTAAACGGGTTTGCGTTGACACCTTTTTGTCTCACAGAGATTTTGTTCCTTCCTGCCTTGGGTTGAGAGGGTGGAACCTGGAAGGTTTACTGGTCTTGTGAGTTGCCCGAGTGCCTGGGGTGATGGCCAGGTGGCCGTAGGTCCTGCTGGCCCCAGGGGACAAGTGAGGAAGTGTTTTCTGCATGATCACAAGTGTGGCACCATAACACCACAAAAGGCCAGAAGAAAATATTAAATGGAAGTGACCTCTGGGTGTGGGGATTTCTTTAATTTTCGTTTTGGACTTTCTGCATTCCACATATGACCTTTATAATCAGAACCAAACGTTGTGACACATTAAAACAGGGAAGCCGGGCCTCCAACACTCAAAGCGCCTGCGGAGCCGCCTCCATTTCCAGTCCTAAGGACTAGACAGAGGCGGCGTGGCCCAGCTCCAGGCGGGGCCCACTCCTGGGACACCTATCTTTTCAGGCCACTTTTCATCTGCCATTCCATTTTAGTCTTGAAGCGCCGTCCTGCACCTAAGCCAAAGTGCAATTGGCCCTGCAGACCCTGGATAGGAGCTAGAAGGAGCCAGGGGCAGTGTCCTTTTATACAGATGGGAAAACTGAGGCCCACAGAAGCACAGGCACTGCTGCCCATCCTGGCTTGCAGGGGCAAAAGACTCAGGCCAGGCCCGGGGATTCTGGACCTGTTCCGGGGCCCAGGGCCCACCAGTGCTCCAGCATAACGTGCCCCTGCCCTGGGCCCCACCTTCATGAACCTCTCCGAGGGAGGGACGCAGCCCAGGCAGAGGCTGAGCAGGATCCAGCCCCGGGCCAGGCTGCTTGGTCTGAAGTTCTCCGAGAGCTGCTTGCAGATCTGGCAGTAAATCTCGTCCCTGAAAGACACAGACCACTGGGAGGGCAGGCAGGGGGCCGGGAGGAGAGGAGACAGGGGCATCTGGGCTCACAGTCCTTCTGCCCCTCTGGGGTACCCGACCGTGGGGCGCCTCTCAGCCCTCGAGACCCACCCAGCCTCCTCCCCCCCAGCGCTGCTAGGCCACTCCCTAGGCTCTCGCCCCTGTGGCTTCCTGCCCCACCACGGCCCAGCCCTTGGCCCTCCCTTTCTGTCTCTGCCCTCAACACGCCTGCCTCGTGCTGACTTGGCCTCTCTGCTCGGCCCTCGGGGTGGGGCACCGTCTGCACGACCTGCCCGCTCCGCTGCCCAGCGCCGCGGTGAGGACGAGCAGTGAGTCCTCCCTTCCTGAACGCAGACAGGGCAACGGGGCCTTCATGGGAGAACCCCTCGCCCTTCGCCTCCTGGCCCGCTCCCATTCCCATTCCCATGGGTTCATGGGCTGCCCTCTCTGTGACCTCTTGGCAAGGAGCCTCTTCTGGATCCTTCCCACAGACTCAAGCCTCTATCATCTTAAAAGTGTCCCATTAGAGCCCCAAACCCCACACATCCAGAGGCCACACTTTTCCCCCAGTAGTCGGTGGTGTGCGGGTAAATGTTTATCAACCAACTCTCCCAGGAAAATAGCCCCGATTCATTGCATTTGCAGATGTCTGTGGTGTAAATGTTCCCATCAAGGCCAATTTCAAGCTGCCAACATGATGGGAACACAGAGATGGGAAGAGATGTACACAGTTGGCTACCATGAGCCCCAGCACACGGCCTCTCTGCAGCCTATAGACACCACCACCAAACTGGAAATCTGGGGTCATTCTAGACCTCCCATCTCTTCATCTCCCAGATCCAACCAGCCACCACATCCTACCACCTCTCTCCTGGATGTCTTCTCTGTCCCCGGCTCTGGGCCAACGCTCATCAGCTCTCCTTGGACTTCTGTAGTGGCCCCTGCCTGGCCTCCTAGCCCAGGCTACACCTGCCATGTGACTGTCAGGAAGATCCTTCTGGAAGTCAGCTATGATCATGGTCTTCTGCTGCTTAAAACTTTTCCCACTTCCCTTAGAAGTGGACCTGAATTCCATGGCCCAGCTGTGACAAACCACTAAGAATTCAAACCCCTTCAGGCCATGTCAAAGGTGAGCTGTTTACCCTTTTCCTCTGCCTGGGGCCACCCCAGGAGGGCACTAAAACCACCCCTTCTTGGTGCCCTCACTGAACCCTGAACATACTAAGATGCTCAAGCTGCCGTTGTGGGTTTCCTGGACCTCTCCTGTCCCCCGACTAGAGGGTAAGCTTCTTGGAGCAGACATAAGTCATCTTCATCTCCACACGGCCAGCTCCCAGGCCAGGGCTTAGATACTTGTGTGACAGTGTCTATTGAATGTGTGATAGATATGGAATAGCATATTTCTTTTGGTCTCAGAATGTGGCTAGGATGCCAGAGCCATGGAAAAATGGATGCTAACATCCAATATTCTTGTAGAATTTGCTGAAAACAGCAGAACCAGTGTAGCTACCATGCCACCTCTAGGCTGTGTGAGGGAAGATGACAAATTTGGAAGGTGATTCCTAGAAGGGACGTCATAGGAGCAGAGAGCTCTGTGGCCCTTGCTACTCCCCATAAGTGATGGGGGCCGTGAGGGAGACCCCGGGAGAACTGCCAGTAGGGACGGGCCTGTCAGAGGGGAGACACTCTCACGCCTGGGGGGCACACGGAGCCCCAGAAGCCCACTGCCCTCCCCCAGCATGCTGGAAGGGAGCCTGGTGACACTGTTCTTCCCACTGCTTAATTTGTGTCCCTTGAGTTGGGGACATCCATGGAAAAGAGGGCTAGCATCTGCTTCCTCCAGCGGAATTCTAAGCCCAGGGCAGGGTGGAGAGAGAAGACTCGAGGGATGGGAGCCGCTTCCTGCCGGCCACGAGGGTGCGTGGCAGGAGCTGGGCTGCAGGCATCTGGGCAGGACCCCGCACACGCGGGCAGCGAGCGCACCATTCCAGACGCCAAGCAGCAGGCGGCTGCGGGCTGTTCCGCTGGGGCTCGAGTCCGCAGGAGCCGTCATGGGATTGGACGCCACTCCGCAGGGCGTGCCGTGCGGTGTCTGAGGAGCCAGCAGTGCGCCCGTCTGACACAGCCTTTACGTGTGCCGTGGTGGAGGGTGTGGTGGCCAGTGGAGAGCAGCCACGGAGAACTGCCACAGAAGCAGCTCGGGGAGGAGCGTGCCCGCTGGCGTGGCAAGGGCAGCCAAACTGGGCTGGAAGCCCTGTGGCTGTATTGGCCTAAAGCACCCAAGGGCTGAGTTGGGGGACCACAGGGCTTAATAGTGAGACAGGAATCCTGCAATGAGGAGACCCAGAGAACGGGAGTCCTAAATTTTTCATATAAAATCCTAAATCTCTGGCCGACCCCTTCTGGTGGGCCGGCATGGTGGGGCCCTGCATGGCGGCAGACGCCACGTCACCAGCTACGGCCACACAGCTGCACAGGGTCCCAGCTGCTGCTCACCGCGTGGGAGACAGAGCTTGAATCCAGCCAAGCTGATCACCTGCCAGAACAAGAAGTCAACGCTCTTTGAGCACCATAACAGCACCCAGGGTCCCTAAATGTGCCATTGTCAGTGTCCACGAGACAGTCCCAAAGTGCGAGACCTTTGAGGGGCAGCGGCCAAGTGCCAGACACGGGGCAGCACAGGAGGCACGGCCACCCTCACAAGAAAAGGCAGTTAATGCAGACTGACCCCAAGGTGACCCAGAGAGTGGATTTGCAGAAAAGGTTTAAAAACTACTGTGACTCTGCTCAAGGACACGAAGAAAGCTATGTTTATGGTGAGTGGGCAAGTAGGAAATCTTGGCAGAGAAATAAAAATGTAAAAAAGATCCACGTGAAAATTCTAGAATTGAAAAATATATTATCTGGAATAAAACATTTGTTAGGTGGGTATAAGAGCAGGTTGGGGAAGACAGAGAAAGATCAGTGAATTGGAAGACAGATGAGTAGAAATGGCCCAATCTAAAGAACAGAGAAAAAGAAAAAGAAAGAAAAAGTGTGCAGACCCTCAGGCCCAGTGACAGTCTCAAAACAGCTCACATGGGTTTTATGAGAGTTTAAAGGAAAAGAGATTGAGGTAGAAAAAGAAATAATGACCATCAATTTCTCAGATTTAGTTAGAAATATTAACTTGAAGTAAGTGAACCCTAACATACAGTGTCTGCCCCTGAAAGCAGTATGTAGCTGGCCCTCTGCACCTGTGGAGACGCATTCTACCAATTCAGCCAGCTGTGGGTGCAAAACACGGTGTCCACAGGCTCACCACACGGATTTCTTCTAAGTAGTATGAAACCCCAATTCCTATAAGGCCGTGGTATAGAAAGCAAAATACACATACTGCAAATGAGCAACCTGCTCATTTACTGGGCCCTGTGCCGAAGCCTGCTCCCGGGGCAATGGCCAGCCCATGATGAAGGTGTTTTCCTGAAACTGGGTTTTTCCCATGGGTTTCTTAATGCAGAGAAGCCTGGGTGGCTATCACACCTGCTTTCCTGAGACCCCGCCCTCAGGGCCCAGGAGGGGGAGGGGCGCGTGGGCAGGGAGGTTGTGGCTGGGCTGGGAGCCTGCGAGGGGCTCCGACGCTGTGCGTGGGGTGGGTGGGGGTGGGCACTGACCTGAGGCCAGGCCGCAGGATGGCGTAGCCCACGATGAAGTGCACCTTCTCCAGGTTGGACATGGGGCGGTCTGTGACGGGGCCGCTGGGCTCAAATGCTTCCTCTCCAGTGTTCAGCTGGCTGGCCACCTTGAAACCCAAAGGCAGCCGTCAGGACGGCTGAGATTCTCCCCACTTGCCCAGAAGAAAATTGGCACAAGGGGAGGGAAGCCACAGCCCTGCTGGGACAGACTGAGGTTCCGTGCCCTGGGCTTACCTGGCCCGTGACCCGGGAGGACCGCTTCAGCTTCATGGAGGAGATCTTGGTTGTCTTGTCCTTGTGGCCGGGCCTCTGTGGAAGGGGACAGTTAAAAAATGACCATGGCTCGGAGCTGTCCTAAGCCTGGGCTCACCTTGGTGATGCTGACCCTGCAGCCAATGGGGGGGGCAGGAAGTGAGTGACCCTCTCATCCGGACATTTCCAGGCCCCAGATACAGAGCACCAGCACATGCGAGCCTCACAACACACAGCACATCGCCACCCTCGCTGCTGGGCCAGGAAAAGGAGGCCCAGGGATGGCAAGAGATTAGACAAAAGCTACTCATCATCCTTCTGGGATGGGCTCAGTGCTGTTCTTCTGTCCCAAAACTTGTCCTCTCCCCAGTTAAGCTCTCAGAGGCCAGACTGGGTCTGAGCCCAAGTGCTTAGGATGACCCCAAGCCATGGTCACTCAGTAAAAGTGTGGCAGATGATCAGAGGCAGCTCTGCCCACTGCCCGGAGAGCTCTGTCAGGGGATCAGAAGAGCCCAGGCTTCAAACTGGCATCCAGGCAGGGCGGGGCTTACACCCAGCTGTTAGGGTCTAGTGGTCTCCTTAGGCAGAGGTTATACATTCTCATGATGGTGTCATGAGAAGAATTTGCTGCCAAAATTGGAGCTCAGTGTGGGACTGGACATGGGTTGAGATCAGCCCAGTCTGGGGCCAGGCACCAGCTTCTGCTGGGGAAAAGCTGGTTTGCCACACGGGGCCTGACAGAGACAAGCTCCAAGAGGGCAGCAGGGCTGGCTCGGCCCACTGCCCTGTGCATGGGCATGTGGCGGGCACTTAACAAATGTGTGCAGGAAGAAAAACCTGAGATCTGACCTCCAGGAAGCCAGCCCTGCTTCCCCCGTGTCCATCCTCCGGAGGTGCAGGGTGGCTGGACTGCCTCCCAGAGTCCCCTTCCCTGAGCAGTCGCCAGCCTCCAAGGTGCCCCAGTGATCCTCGCCTCCTGACATTCCTACCCTGTGTGGTACGTGACCTCAAGACTAGACATTGCATCTCCCCTCTTGCTTTCCTTCTAGGATCGCTCATGCTGAGGGAAGCCATGTTGTGAAGGTGCTCAGGCAGCTGGCAGAGAGGCCCACATGGGGACGAATGGAGGCTTCTGCCCACAGCCACATGGGTGAGCAATCTTGGGAGTGGACTGTCCAGACCCAGGTGACAGCTTGCTGGCAGCCTCATGAGAGACCCTGAACCAGAACTATCCGCTAAGCTGATCCTGACCCTCAGAAACTACATGAAATAATAAATTTGTGCTATTTTAAGCTGCTAAATTTGGGGAGGGGGGTAATTTGTTATGCAGCAACAGATACCTAATATGCCCTGGTAGAGCCCACACCTCCAGAGGTCAAGGACTCAGGCCCTGGGCCCAGGCAACCTCCATGCACTTCCTGGACTGGGTTGGCCATGAGGTTGGGCTGCAGTTCTCTACACGATAGTCTGTACACAGGACCCCACAGGCACTTGTGATCAGCCCGGCCAGGCACCCGGATGGTGGGGCAGTCATGGGCCCTGGCCACAGGTGGGCCCGAGTGCTGTCACTGCTGCACAATTCCTTGGTTAGTTCCACTCGGATTATGGCCTGCGACTGGGCCTTAGGAAGGACTTCTGACCCAAAGTGGATGTGAATTAACTTTCCATCAGAAAGTAGGGTAGAACTTGGGTCAAGAATTTGGTCTTTGGGCTGGGCATGGTGGCTCATGCCTATATTCCTATAATCCTGGGAGGCCAAGGCAGGAGGATTGCTTGGGTTTAGACATTCGAGACCAGCCCAAACAAGAGCCAGATCCTGTCTTTACTAAAAATAGAAAAATTGGCATCATGGTATGTACATATAGTCCCAGCTGCTCGGGAGGCTGAGGCAGGAGGATCGCCTGAGCCCAGGAGTTTGAGGTTGCTGTGAGCTAGGCTGATGCCACGGCACCCTAGCCACGGTCGCAGAGCAAGACTCTGTCTCAAAAAAAAAAAAAAAAAAAAAGAATAAAAGAACTTAGTCTTTGAATTCAGCAGAACGATTCAAAGCCTAGGCCCCGCACACCTGTCCACTGTGATTTGGGGAAAAGTCATCTCACTTCTCCGTTTCTTTAGCTATAAAGAAACATAATAATCCCTCCCTTGTGGCGCTGCCACCTGGGATTGAATGAAGAGAAGCAGCTGGCACATAGCAGGCTGTCAGTCAGTGACGACATCTGTTGCTGTTACTACTGGTGCATTCGTTTGAACCCGCTTAAATCAAATATGATATTCCGAGTCCAAGGGACTCTCTCCATTAATGGTTATATAATTCAAAGAGTCCTGGGCATGCTCTGGGATTCACGAGTTTCTGTGTGCAATTCATGACTGTAATTACCTTGGTGCCCTGGCTTCGGGGCTGAGTTCAGTGGGCGGTGCTGATGGGAGGGCTTGGGGACTTGTCTCCCTTCCCGCGCAGCTTCCCAGGGCCAGGCCCTCCCCTGCCTGCTGCCCTCACGCTGCTTACCTGTGCAGACCCCGCTTGCTGCAGACTCTGGGCGCCACCTGCCTTGCCCAGCGTGTCGTGGATCTGCTGCATCACTGAGCTGCCTTGGTTGCTCCTGGCATAGAGCACTGGCTCCGGGAGGTCGCCCATGAACCTCAGGATGACGTTCCACACAGCAAGAGCGGCCTGGGGAAATGAGACAGAGGCCTGGCTGGAACTCAGCTCCCAGCACTGTGGCCCCTTCCTTGTTCCTCTGAACCACAGCTCAGACTCCAGGCCCCGGAGTGTCCCGAGCTACCCAGAGAACACTGGGTACCGAGCAGTCAGCTTCGTCCTCATGGTAGAGAAGGGGGTATCGGAGGGGCCGCCGTATGTGTGTGTGGCTGGCTGATTTCTGGAAGTAAGTCGCAGCAAACTTGGGGAAGGTGTAGTCAGCCAGGCCATCCACATCCTCCTCGGGCTCCTCCACCATGGGGACTGTGTCCAGGTCAACCTCAGGCAGCTTCCGGATCTTTGCTTCTAGATCCTGAGTGAGGGAGAACACAGATCAGCAGTCCTTGCAGCCAGCAGCCAGCTGGTCATCTGGCCGCCAGCAGGGCGGGCACCGCGGGCAGGTCCTCCTGAGGGTCCCAGCGCCTGCTGCACAGCTAGGAGGCGGGAGGGGCCCAGAGAGGTCTGTGGGGGTCCACACAGGACAGCCTGGGCTGCTACTCCTCTCGCCTTCTTCCCCTCCCTGCCGTGGTCACATTCTGCAGAATGGCAGCCCCAAGGTGCTCTGGGGTGGCCTGGGGGGCTCTGCGTGGGGACAGCGTGGGCGTGTTTGGAGAGTAAAGGCTCTAGGACGCCTTGCAGTGGGAGAGGTCTGACTGCAGGGACCCACACTCACTCCCCTCTTCTCTGCGGGGCCATGGGACCCCCAGGGCGCGGCTGAGCACTGGCAGCTCCTCAGCAGGGGCTCGGCTTCTCAAGGAGCAGGGGGCGGACCAGGAAAGGCCAGCTGGTCTCACCTCGAAGCGCGGCGGGGCCTGGCCCTCCTGCCCCCCGATCATGGCAGGGAGGAAGCCGAACACTTCCTCCACCATCTCCGTGTCGGTGACGGTGTCGTAGATGGACTTGCGCTTCTGGTCGGGGAGAGCGCCTTGGCTCTTCTCTGCAGCCTGGATGAGCAGCGGTGCCTGCACACACCCGTGGGGAAGGTCGCCCGCTGGCCCAGCTCTGCCTGCCTCACAGGGAAGCACCTTCCAGAGCCAGTATGCCTAATCCTGCCATCATTTTCCCAAATCAATGTATTTTGCTCTAAAATAACAGATTTTAACAGCTAGGGTGACTAGAGGTCAACCAGCAGGGCTTTCCATTTCCTGTGGAAGCCAGAGGTTCCAAGAGGTGAGGTTGCTGGCTTGTCCCTAGCCCTGCATGGCCCTGCATGGCCCCTGAGGCACCACCTCAAACTCCAGGGACCCCAGAACCAAGGTGCAAAATGCAGGCAGATGCATACTGGTACTGTCCCCTGCTCCCTGTCCTCCCAGCCTCCCAGACCCGGGGAAGCTCCCCCTGGTATTTCTGTGTCCCTGGAACCGTCACACACAGCCCAGCAACCAGGGGCCTTGCTCCCTCCACGCAGTAGTGGCCTCTCACAGCCACCTGGCTCAGGCCTGCTGTGCCTCCCAGGGACTACCACCTTGCCAGAAAATCACCCCTAAGGCGAAAGGGAGGGGACCAAGGAGCTCCACCTCCAGGATCCAGACACGAGGCTGTCCTGCTGATCTGGTGCCTATCCATGCTAGGGCCTGCGAGTGCCCGATGGTGGCCCAGGCTCCCCAGGTGGCCCGATGGGCTGCAGTAGTACTGACTTTGCCCAGGGAGAGGAAAGAGCTCTCTCCTGTCTTTCAGGCCATAAGGTGCCTCTTAATTTGCCTCCCGTATCCTTGCTGCGATCTTGAGTAACTTTTAAAGTCTTGGTTGACGGTGGGGACTTTCAAAGGGGTTTCTGGTGAGAGTGCCATATGGCTGCTCTCCCCTTCTGCCTTCCCTCACCCACCTGGGCCGCTGCCGGCTCCACCTGCCCAAGAGGTTTGGTGACCACCTACATTGGCTTTCCGTCGCTGGAAGCTCCGCCGGGCAGCCATGCCCCTGGCATGGGCCTGAATGACCAGCACCGCCCTCTTCTTGGCCTGGACCTCCTGGCGCACCAGGTAGCCCCTGCAGAGGGCCTGCAGCTGGACCATCCTGTGCCGCATGGCCTGGTACTGCCTCACCAACAGGTGGCCCCGGGCGATGGCTTGCAGGCGCTCAAAGCCCAGGAGGATCTACCGAAGCAAGAGGGAGGCGGGCTCAAGGGTGAGAAGGCCCTCTGGAGAACAGGGAGCGATTCCCTAGGAGACCTCGCAAATTAGCTTATCATCAGCTGCTTTTTGGCAAAGGGCTGGTGCTAGAATAGCACAAATCTGTGAGCATGGGCATACTGAGACAGTTATTATTTGTAAAGTACATAGAACACAGCCTGACATGCAGGTAAGTGCTAAATGAGCATTTTTGAAATAGCGTAAATTATAAAGTGGCCTCCTGAGGGCCATGGACAGACAGAATTGCATTGGATTTCACATGGGCAAGTGCATTCCAGAGGCAATGTTTCTCACACCTGCCAACCAAGTCCGGCCAACTTGTCAGGAGCTAGCACACCTGTGTAGAGGCCTGCAGCCAGCTCCACCAAGCTAATCTGTCAGGGCATCTTTAAAATAAATGGGAAGTAAGAAATGGATGAACATCCATTCTGTGCTACAGACATCCCCTGGGCCCTTGCAACGAGCCTTGTTGGCACAGTGACGACCAACCCAATGGGTCAGCTTACGGCTGGGAAGTCACACAGCCCTGCATCCAAACCCCAGCTCTAGAGCTTACTGTGTGCTCTTGGGGAAACCACCTAGCCCCTTCATGCCTCAGTTCCTTGACTAATAGGGTTGGTCTAACATGAAATAAAATGACTCATGCAAAGCAACAGCCCCAGAGGAACCCTCCCACACAGCCACTACTATGCCCTTTGTGAGCATGGAACGCTGCCAGTCTTGCTAATATGGCTACTCTACAGCACAACCACAGTCACATCCATGGCAAAGGCGAGCAGTCAAGTGAGGCCCAACAGGATGCGGCCATGGTTGCTCTAGCCCACTGGTTGAGCAGATACTCATTAGCAAGTGCCTGTGGTTAAGAGAAAAATCAGGAGTGTTTGAAATAGAATAACCAATCCATTTACTTATTTTGTTGCCTGTAAGTTGGAAAGGAATAGGCATTATTCCATCTCAGAGCAGGACACCTAGCCTAGCTCTGAAATGCCCCAAATCTGCAGAAAACTTTGAAGGCCACAAGGGGCTAGAGACTATGCTAAGACAGAAAATGTGGGGGACTGAGGTCTGTGTCTGTGAGTGATTTGATCTTTCCCTCCTGAATCTCTCATTCAGAGAAAAAAACTTCAAAATTTGTCTTTTATTAGGCAGTTAACACATTGACGCCGCAGGCCCAGCCTCCCCAGCGAGCTCTCTCACCAGCTTGAAGTTCCTCCTGCTGTAGCAGCCTCTCCACCAGGCCTGGAGGGCCGTGGCCGCCCGCCTCTGCCTCAGGAACTGCCGCCTGGAAGGGGTGTGCAAGCCTGGTCATGGAACGACCCTGGACATTTGGAAGCCTTTGGGGAGAAAACTAATTTTGAAGGGAAGAGGGATAATAAAATGTTGGGAACAAGGAATACATACAACACTTTCTCAGAAGCCTTTATAGACCAAAAGACATGGGCAGATTAGAAACATAAAATCTACTGTTGACAACCCAAATTTGAGAATGACGATAGTTAAGTTTTTTAAGTAATCAAAAAATTCTTCATTCCTTCCTATGTGCCCCAAAGCTATGAAGGGCTAAAATTCATTCCCAACTGTTTATTCCTTGCCGGACGCCTCCTCCGGCCCAGGCTGGACGTGCAGAGGGTGACCTGAGCGTCGGGCTCTGGGAGGGCGGAGCCCCCGCAGGCCAGCCTGGAGCACACAGCCCCACAGGCGTCCTGCATGCACGCGCTTCGCAGATACTGCATTCCCATAGACGGAAAGTATGTGGCAGCCGTGAGTCACGCAAGTCTGTCAGTGTCATTTTCCCGACAGTATGTGCTCATTTTGTGTCTGTATCACATTTTGGTAATTCTTGAAATTCCTCCTGTTGCAGTAGCTTCTTTTCAAACTTTTTCATCATTATTACATCTGTTACAGTGATCTGTGATCAGTGATCTCTGATGTTACCATCGTAATTGTTTTTGGGTGCCACAAACCACACCCATATAAGATGGCAAGCTTAATCAATAAATATGTGTGTTCTGACTGCTCCACCCAGTGGCCTTTATCCTCTCTTCCTCTCCTTGGGCCTTACTATTCCCTGAGACACAGTGATATTGAAATTAGGCCGATTAATAACCTTATAATGGCCTCTAAGTGTTCAAGTGAAAGGAAGAGTTGCATGTCTCTCACTTTAAATCAAAAGCTAGAAATGATTAAGCTTAGTGAGGAAGGCATGTGGACAGCCATGATATTCCAGGCCTCTTGTGCCAAGCAGCTAGCAACTTGTGGATGCAAAGGAAAAGTTTTTGAAGGAAATTAAAAAATGCTACTCCAGTGAGCACACAAATGATAAGAAAGCGAAACAGCCTTATTGCTGAGATAAAGTGTGAGTGATCTGGATAGAAGATCAAACCAGCCATGACATTCCCTTTAAGCCAAAGCCTAATCCAGAGCAAGGCCCCAACTCTTTAATTCTATGAAGGCTGAGAGAGATGAAGCTGCAGAAAAGTCTGAAGCTTAGCAGAGGCTGTTTCGTGAGGTTTAAGGAAAGAAACCATTTCCGGAACATAAACGTGCAAGCTGAAGCAGCAGGTGCTGGTGGAGAAGCTACAGCCAGTTATCCAGAAGATCTAGCTGAGATAAACGATGAAGGTGGCCACACTAAACAATGGATTTTCCATGTAGATGAAACAGCCTTGTATTGGAAGAAGTTACCATTTGGGAATTTCAAAGCTAGAGGGGAGAAGGCAATGCCTGGCTTCAAAGCTTTAAAGGACAGGACTAATCTAGCTGGTGACCTTAAGTTGAAGCCAGTTCTCATTTACCATTCTGAAAATACCAGAGCCCTTGAGAATTATGCTAAATCTACTTTGCCTATGCTCTAGAAATGGAACAACAAAGCCTGGAGGACAACACATTTCCTTATAGTACCATTTGCTGAATATTTTAAGCCTACTGTTGAGACCTACTGCTTCAAAAAAAAAAAAGATTCCTTTCAAAATATTTCTGCCTTCCTGGTTGATCCTGCTAGGAAAAAAAAAAAATTTCTGCTAACTTACAATGAACCTGGTCACCCAAGAGCTCTGATAGAGATGTACAAGGAGATTAATGTTGTTTTCATGCCTGCTAACAAAACATTCATCCTGCAGCCCATGGGTCAAGAAGTAATTTTGATTTTTAAGTATTACTATTTAAGAAATACATGTATTAAGGGTATAGCTGCCATAGATAGTGATTCCTCTGATGGATCTGGGCAAAGTAAATCAAGAACTTTCTGTGAGGATTCACCATTCTGGATTCTTCATTAAGAACATCTGTGGGCCGGGTGTAGTGGCTCATGCCTGTAATCCTAGCACTCTGGGAGGCCGAGGCAGGTGGATCGCTCAAGGTCAGAAGTTCGAAACCTGCCTGAGCAAGAGCAAGACTGTGTCTCTACTAAAAATAGAAAGAAATTAATTGGACAACTAAAAATATATAGAAAAAATTAGCCGGGCATGGTGGCGCATGCTGTAGTCCCAGCTACTTGGGAGGCTGAGGCAGGAGGATCGCTTGAGCCCAGGAGTTTGAGGTTGCTGTGAGCTAGGCTGACGCCATGGCACTCTAGCCTGGGCAACACAGTGAGACTCTGTCTCAAAAAAAGAAAAAAACAAGTCCAACTATGGCCAGGTGCTGTGGCTCATGCCTGTAATCCTAGCACTCTGGGAGGCTAAGGCAGGAGGATTGCTCAAGGTCAGGATTTTGAAACCAGCTTGAGCAAGAGTGAGACCCTGTCTTTACTAAAAAAAAATAGAAAGAAATTAGCTGGACAACTAAAAAAAAAAAAATATATATATATGTATATTTTAGTATATATATATATATATAAAATTAGCTGGGCATGGTGGCGCATGCCTGTAGTCCCAGCTACTCAGGAGGCTGAGGCAGGAGGATCGCTTAAGCCCAGGAGTTTGAGGTTGCTGTGAACTAGGCTGATGCCACGGCACTCTAGCCTGGGCAACAGAGTGAGACTCTGACTAAAAAAAAAAAAAATCTGTGATTCATGGGAGGAGGTAAAAATATCAACATTCACAGAAGTTTGGAAGAAGTTAATTGCAGCCCTCATGGATGACTCTGAGGGGTTCAAGACGTCAGTGAAGGAAACTGCAGATGTGGTGGAAGAGCAAGAGAACTAGAATTAGAAGTGGAGCCTGAAGGTGTGAGTGAATTGCTGCAATCGCATGAGAAAACCTGAATGGATGAGGAGCTGCTTATTATGAATGAGCAAAAGCGGTTTCTTGAGATGAAACCCACTCCTGGTGAAGATGTGAACACTGTTGAAATGACAGCAAAGGATTTAGAACATTCCACAGGCTAGTTGATAAAGCAGGAGCTGGCGGCTGCTGGTGCTGCGGCACCCAGTAAGCAGAGCACAGAGACTCTGCTACACAGCCGACAGTGCGCAGCACTGCCTCCACAGCAAAAGTGTCAATAGTGCTGAGGTTGAGAAACTGTGATTCTGTCTTTTCTTTAATTTTCTTGTCTAATTGCATTGGCGAAAATAGTAAGAACATGGTTAAATATCAACAATGATAACTTCCAAGAAGATGAAATGGACGCACTTTTCTTTAGTTTAGTTGCCAATATCAGGAATGAGACGGGGTATCATTGCAGACTCTGCCAACATCAAAAGGATAATAAAGGAATACTATGAACAACTTCACACACACACACATTTGACAACTTAGATACGATGGACCAATCCTCAAAAAGCACAAATTACCACAACTCACTTAATATGAAATAGATAACTTGAATCATCCTATAACTATTAAAGAAAGTAAATGTATAATTTAAAACTCCCTGTAGAGAAATCTCCAAGCCTAGATCTTTTCACAGATTTCTACCAAATGTTTAACAAAAATTTCACACCAATTCCACAAAATCTCTTCCAGAAAATAGAAGAAGAAACATTTCCCAATTCATTTTATGAAGCTAGTGTTACTCTGATACCAAAACCAGACAAGACAATATAAAACAAGAAAAACTTCAGACTTCATGAATAGCGATGCAAAAACCCTTAACAGAACATTGGCAAACAGCATTCAGCAACGTAAAAAGAATCACGTGCTATGACCAAGTGGAGCTTGCTCCAGGGGTGCAAGCCTAGGCCGATATTTAAAAATCAGTCAAAGTGGTCTGTCACATTAAAGGCTAAAGAAGGCCGGCACGGTGGCTCACACCTGTAATCTAGCACTCTGGGAGGCTGAGATGGGCTGATTGCTCGAGGTCAGCAGTTCGAAACCAGCCTGAGCAAGACCCCCCATCTCTACCAAAACTAGACAGAAATTAACTGATCAACTAAAAATATATAAAAAAATTAGCCAGGCATGGTGGTGCATGCTTGTAGTCCCAGCTACTTGGGAGGCTGAGGCAGGAGGATTGCTTGAGCCCAGGAGTTTGAGGTTGCTGTGAGCTAGGCTGACGCCACGGCACTCACTCTAGCCTGGGCAACAAAGCGAGACTCTGTCTCAAAAAAAAAAAAAAAAAGCTAAAGAAGAAAAATCACTTAATCATTATCAACTGATGCAAGAAAAAATGACAAAATTCAACACCCATTCATGATAAAAACTCCCAGAAGACTAGGAATTTGGTAAACTTTTTCAACTTAAGAAAGGGCACCCAGCTACAAAAAACCTGCAGCTAACATTATACTTAATGGTTGGAGGCTAAGAGCTTTCTCCCTAAGATACGGGACAAAGCAGAGATACCTGCTTCCACCACTCTGATAACACTGGGAGTTCTGGCCAGTGCAACAGGCAAGCAAAGGACATAGAAGACATGCAGATTGGAAAGGGAGAAATAAAGTTGTCCCTATTTGCATATGGCATGATTATTTACATAGAAAATTCCAAGAAATCTATAAAAAGTGAGTTCAGTATGGTTGCAGGATACAAAGTCAACACACAAAAATCAATCATATTTCTATATACTAGCAATGAGCATGTCAATGTTGAAATTAAAAACACAGTACCATTTACAACCACTAAAAAAAAAATACTTAGGGCTGGGCACAGTGGCTCACGCCTATAATTCTAGCACTTTGGGAGGCCAAGGTGGGAGGATCTCTTGAGGTCAGGAGTTGGAGACTAGCCTAGGCAATAGCGAGACTCGGTTTCTAAAAAAAAAAAAATTAGCCAGATGTGGTGGCACACCTGTAATCCCAACTACATGGGAGGCTGAGGCAGGGTGATCGCATGAGCCCAGGAGTTTGAGGTTGCTGTGAGCTATGATTATGCCACTGCACTCCAGCTTGGGTGACAGAACAAGATCCTGTTTCAGGAAAAACAAAAACAAAAAAACAACAACTTACATGTAAATTTAACAAAACCTGTGCAGGATTTATATGCTGAAAACTACAAAATACTGATGATTGAAATCAAAGAAGATCTAAATAAGTAGAGCTAGAGATCATGTTCATGGAATGAAAGACTAGACATTACAGATGTTAATTCTCTCCCAAACGGATATACAATGCAATTGCTGTCAAAAATCCCAGGAAGATTTTTTTAGAGCTATAGACAAAATTATTTTAAAATGTACATAGGAATGTAAAGGAACTAGAAGAGCTAAAACAATTCTGAAAAAGAAGAGTGGAAGCAGTCAGTCTACACTGCTTCAAGACTCACTATATAACTATAGTACAAGACACTGTGGCATTGTGGAGGGACAGACACACAGATCAATGGAACAGAACAGAGCACTCAGAAACAGACCCACACAAATATGGCAAATGGATTTTTGACAAAGACATAAAAGCAATTCATTGAAGGAAGATGGACTTTTCAATGAATGGTGCCGGAGCAACATCCCTAGGAAAAAAATTGAAAAAGAACCTTGACCTAAATCTCACACCTTATATAAAAATTAACTCAAAATGAAAATGTATCATGGACCTAAATGCAAAATGTTTAAAACTATAAAACTTTTAGAAAAACACAAAAGAAAATCTTTAGGCAAAGAGTTCTTAGACTTGAGACCAAAAAGTATGATCTATAAAAGGGATACTTGACAATTAGACTTTATCAAAATTAAACACTTTTGCTGTGCAAAGACCCTCTTAAGAGAATGAGAAGACGGAGAAAATATTTGCAAACCACATAACTGACAAAGGATTGGTATCTAGAATATATAAAGAACTCTCAAAACTCAATAAAGATTTCAATTATAAACTGGTCAAGCAACATGCTCAGACATTTCACCAAAGAGACTATATACATATGGCAAATAAGCACATGTAAAGATATTCAACATCAGGAAATGTAAATTATAACCACAATGACATATCATTACACACCTATCAGAATGCCTCAAATAAAAACAGCCACAACATCAAGCACTGGGGAGGGTGCGGAGAGATGGAGTCACACATTGCCGGAGGGAATGCAAAAGGGTGTAGCTGAGACAGGGAACTGGCAGACTTTGCTCAATAAGGAGTAATAAGTCTTGAACCAAAGTGTCTGATAAAACAAGAGACAATGAGAAGCCAGACAAAAGTAGCTAGAACCAAGATTTCCATGAAAGATAACCTCAGGTTACCCTCACTGCTCATTATACGGTACTTAGAAAACATTAGCATACTACAAGAAACTCTCCACAGCACCCTGGCAGTTTGCAAATGCCATGGCAACTCCTGGAAGTTACCTTACATGGTTTAAAGGGGAGAGGGTCCCTCGGAACTCCCCCACCCCTTTCCCAGAAATCTTATGAATAATCCTTCTTCTGCGTAACATAAAATTAAATAGGGCCGGGCGTGGTGGCTCACGCCTGTAATCCTAGCACTCTGGGAGGCCGAAGTGGGTGGATCGCTCAGGGTCAGGAGTTCAAAACCAGCCTGAGCAAGAGTGAGACCCCATCTCTACTATACATAGAAAGGAAATATTGGGCCAACACATATATTATATATATAATATATATAACACATATATATATAGTATATATATAATATTAGCCGGGCATGGTGGTGCATGCCTGTAGTCCCAGCTACTTGGGAGGCTGAGGCAGGAGGATGCTTGAGCCCAGGAGTGTTTGAGGTTGCTGTGAGCTAGGCTGACACCAGGGCACTCACTCTAGCCTGGGCAACAAATGTGAGACTCTGTCTCAAAAAATAAAATAAAATATGATAAAATAAAATAGAAGGTATAAAATAAGACCCTGGAAACTCACAAAGTGCTACTCTCTGTTGCTCTGAGAGCTGCTGCTCTGCCTGTGGGGCATCCACCTTTCTTTTTACCTTTCCAGACCCCAATAAACTTGCTTTTGCCTTACGCTGTCAGCTCGCTGTTGAATTCTTTCCTGCCCGAAGCCAAGGACTCACTTGGCCTTGAGGCTGGACCCCAGTTTTGGGGCTCACTTTCTTGGATCTCAGCTACTCTTGCAAACAGTTTGGCAGTTCTTTAAAAATGGAACATGTAACTGCCATATGACTCAGCAATTGCACTCCTGGGCATTTATCCCAGACAAATGGTAATTTGTGTTCACTCAAAATCCTGTACATAAATGCTCATAGCAGCTTTATTCGTGAAAGCCAAAAACTGGAAATAGCCCAGGTGTCTTTCAACAGGTGAATGGTTAAACTGTGGTATATCCAAACTACAGAATACTACTTAGCAATAAAAAGGAACAAAATACTGATGCACGTAACAATCTGGATGAATTTCCAAAGAAATATGCGGAATGAGAAAAATCAATCCCATAGGCTACATGCTATATAATTCCATTTATATAACATTTTTGAGATGGCAAAATTATAGAAATGAAGAACAGATCAGTGGCTGCCAGGTGCTAAAGAGAGATGGGGGTGTGGGGGAGGGCAGAGGGTGTGACTGTGCGAGGGCAGCCTAAGGTGTCCTGGTGGGGATGGGGCATTCTATGTCTTTTTTTTTTTTTGAGACTAGAGTGCCGTGGTGTCAGCCTAGATCACAGCAACCTCAATCTCCTGGGCTCAAGTGATCCTCCTGCCTCAGCCTCCCAAGTAGCTGGGACTACAGGCATGTACCACCATGCACAGCTAATTTTTTCTATATATATTTAGTTGGCCAATTAATTTCTTTCTATTTATAGTAGAGATGGAGTCTCGCTCTTGCTCGGGCTGGTTTTGAACTCCTGACCTCGAGCAATCCACCCACCTCGGCCTCCCAGAGTGCTAGGGTTACGGGCGTGAGCCATCGTGCCTGGCCTCTACATCTTGACTGTTATCAATTCAGTGTCCTGGTTGGGTTACTGTACTACAGTTTTATGAGATGCTACCACTGTGGGAAACTGGACAAACAGTGTATGGGGATCTCTTTGTATTATTCCTTACAACTGCATGTTAATCTACAATTGTCTCAAAACAAAACCTTAATTAAAAATATAACAGAGTCAGTTGGCCAGTCTCCCTCTGATATGCTGGACTGGCTGATCTGATGCTGCCCATGGTCCTGAGACCACAGGCACCAGGATCCGGCCTTCCCTGCTGGCCCCTGGCTTCCTTGCAGCAGCGCTGCCTCTGCTGTCACAGGCCACAGCTCCAGACCCTGCTCCCTGGGCCCACATTCCCTATTCCCAGGGCTGCCACCTTCTCCCAGTTTCTCATGCCTGGGGTTCCAGCCCTTTCTACGACTGGGGACCGGCAGTCGAGATAGCTCACAGGACCATGCTGTGGGGACTGCAGGGCCCTCCGGATGAGGTGTGGGTGGGTGATGGGGCAGCGTTGCTGACCGGCTGAACCTGGACTGAAACTCAAGTACTGCTTTCCGACTGCCCAGGGAACTGAGGCGAAGCCAGTGGTCTTTATTCCCTCTAAAACTGAACTACTTCATAACCCAAACCCACACCCTCTCCAAGATGATTGAAGGAGAAAAACAAAATGTAGTTAACAGAGCTGATCCTTCATTTGGTTCACTTCTCTTGCTTCCGGAGTGGTTTTTGTTTCTTCCAAACATTCTGGTAATGTATTGGAATTCACAGGCTGCAGTGTCCCCAGTCAGGAGATCTTGGGAGATCCTAGTCACCTCCAGGGAGGGACCCGCGGGGACTCATGACCCTGGTTTGTGGGGGACATGGCGGGCGGTGACTTGGGGAGGGGCCAGCACCTGTGTCTGTAGCCGCGTAGGACTCTCTGGATGCTGACTGCTGCTTTGTCCAGGGCCTGGCTCCTCTGCGTCTCCAGAAGAGTGTCCTGGTAACCCTGGGGACAGGACAGGTGACGTCACAGAGCTGCCCGCTCCCTCCACACCCCAGAAGGCTGCACCTCTCAGACCTCTCCTAGGAGGGCGGCCCTCGGATCGACTTGGATGTGGCTCAGAAACAGGAGTGTAGGCCGGGCGCGGTGGCTCACGCCTGTAATCCTAGCTCTCTGGGAGGCCGAGGCGGGCGGATTGCTCGAGGTCAGGAGTTCAAAACCAGCCTGAGCAAGAGCGAGACCTCGTCTCTACTATAAATAGAAAGAAATTAACTGGCCAACTAACATATATAGAAAAAATTAGCCGGGCATGGTGGCGCGTGCCTGTAGTCCCAGCTACTCGGGAGGCTGAGGCAGGAGGATCGCTTGAGCCCAGGAGTTTGAGGTTGCTGTGAGCTAGGCTGACGCCATGGCACTCACTCTAGCCTGGGCAACAAAGTGAGACTCTGTCTCAAAAAAAAAAAAAGAAAGAAAGAAACAGGAGTGTGATACCTCCCACTTCGGATTCAAGAACTCCCTCCTTCAGCTCTTTTTACTTGCTAATTCAACCTGGCAACCTTCATTTCTGCTCTGAAGAATCTAAGGGGGCTGGTTCTCATGGAAGACTCAAAAAAAAAAAAAAAAAAAAAAGAATCTAAGGGGGCACATTTCTTTGAATTTGTGTTTTATTTTCCAAAATCCATGCAACGTTTGCATTCAACTGTATGAGACCTATGGTTGTTTCAATATAAAAATGTTTCCTGCAACCTGTGAGTAGGATTCTGGGTGAGAGCCCATGGGCCTTATTCATCCTTGGGCATCACTGTGCCTGAGGATATCCTGCCACCTCAGCCCCAGGAAGCCAGGGGCTGTCTCTGCAGAGCACAGAGCAGTGTGGCCCTCAGGCAAGTGGGGAGGAGGGGCTGGGAGCTCAATGGCCCCTCCCGCCTGCACCAGACCGTCACACAGCCTGGAGCCTGGGCAACAGAGACAGACCAGACCCAACTGTGGCCTTGAGGAAGGAACAGCAGGGGCAGGAGGAATGGAGGGGTGGCCACTATCCTCTCCTGCTCCTCCAACACCCACCCACACTGACCTCGCCTTTATGTCGCTGTGGCCCTTGTTGTCTGTTTTGCCCTCCAGGCAGTGCCCTGGGGCATCCCTCTGCAGACCTCACCTCCCCAACCAAATCAGAAGCCCTCTGCTTCTTTTCCCTGTTTGTGCCTCAGATCCCCAGCACCAGCCTGACTAATGCACGGACAGATGGACCAACTGGAGGGCTGAGGCCAGGAGGTCCCTCTGGGGACAGATGAGGGTGGGTGAGGAGTCACTATGTGGAAGAGGAAGGAAGAGCAGGTATGGGGCAGGAGCCCCAGGTGAGCTGGCTCGATCTCTTCTTTCTCTTCCTTCTCCCTGCACTTGCCCGCCTAAGGCTTATGAGGATAGGGGGCAGGGGGGTCCTCTCCCCGGTGGCTCTTTGACCCAGCTGGCAATCCTGGAGGGCCATGAGGCTGCCTGTGCATGGCCTGAAGCTCCCTGTATGTTGTGGGGGAGGCAGGTGGTGGTACTGCTCATACGAGCCTCCTAGGGCTGAGCCAGCTCATGGCAGTCAACACACTGCACCCTCCCGTTGCCGTGCCGGCTCTCTGGGGGTCCTAGAGGTACCTTTTCCTTCCCCTCAGGCTTGTCCTAGTGCAGCGTTCCCCAGCCTTTTTGGCACCAGGGCCCAGTTTCATGGAAGACAATTTTTCCATAGACCAGGTGGGGGATGGTTTCAGTATGATTCGAGCACATCACATGTATTGTGCAGTCAGACCTCTCTGCTAAAGATGACCTGTACTTGCAGCTGTTCCCCAGCGCCAACATCACCGCCCCAGATCATATGGAGCACGCAGCCCAGACCCCGCACGCGCAGTTCACAGCAGGGCTCAGATTAGTTTACAGCTCCTGCTTGAATCTGATGCAGCCGCTGGTCTGACGGGAGGCGGAGCTCAGGTGGTGATGCCAGTGACAGCAGTGGCTGTAAATGCACATGAAGCTTCCTGCGGCTCACCTCCTGCTGTGTGGCCCAGTTCCTAATAGGTCACAGGCCATAGTGGTCAGTCCGGAGCCTGGGGGTTGGGGACTGCGGCCCTACAGGACCCTCTCTGAGACGCTTCCCGGACCCCCACAGGCTGGGCTGGCTTCCCCAGTGTTCAGCCCACCTCGAGTACCCCTAGCATGACTTTCTACACCTGGGCTTCCCCAAGGGCCGGGCCCACCGGCAGCGCTGGAGCAGAGGTGTCGGCCGGGCGCGAGTGGAGACGCCGGGCCTGGCGCAGGAGCTGACCAGCTCCACATCCCAGGAGGCCGCCGCCGGCGGGTTCCTCAGCGTCTCACCTTCAGGAAAATTTTGGTCCTTCCCACTTTCCAGTCTTTGTCTGTCCCCAGCCACATGTCAGCAATGCGTATGGTCATTTGGCGGAACTTGTCTCGCAGCTGCCAGGAGAGACAGGTTGGCTCAGAGCATGTCGGAGCAGAGACCCCCCCAAGGCTGAAGTCTGAGGACCGGTGTCTTCTTCCTCCTCCACAGGCTCCACTGCCAGGGGCCGCCCTGGCACAGGCACAGAGGGCACCCCAGGTCAAGGAGTAGGCCAGGGGCACTCTGGGTCCAGTCCTTCAGGGCTATGGGCTCTGCTGGGCCTGGGGCCTTAATGTGGCTGTGGACGCTTGGCCCCAGGTCAGGCCAGACTTCAGGATGGCTGAGGCTTCAGGCAGGACAGGAAAGACTTCCTAGCCCTAATAGCTCCCTAGCCACACCTCAGCCCTGTGACGTTCTGCCCCATGGGAGACAGTGCTTGCTGTGAGAGCACAGACGTGCTAGAAGGAACAGCTGCAGCTGCCAGCATCCACCAGACCCCCGGGGTGAGCCAGTGCCCCCGCCGTGCCCCTGGGAGAGCAAGAGGGGAGGGTGGGAGGCGGGGAAGGTAAAGAAGGATGGGATCATCGCAGAGCTTGGTGCCTGGGCATTGTGGAGCCCCCTTGCACTGGGGCTGGAGCTGGCCACCACGGTAGGGGAGGGCGCGGGCGAGAGGGGCGCGCACCTGTGTCCGCACGGTGCTGGGCAGCAGCACGCAGAACCTCTGCGAGAAGTCCTCCAGCGAGTAGCGGATGGGGAAGCCCGACTTGCGGATCTGCACGGTCTCCATCATGCCCGAGTAGCGCAGCTGCCGCAGGCACAGCTCCCGGTCGAAGAGCTGTGGGTGGGGCAGGGTGACCAGACGCCGGCGGCCTTGCCCCCACCGCAGCCACCAGAACGCAAAGCTCGTGCCACTCTCCAGATGTGCACAGCGCAGGAACGCAAGGTCACTTGCACGCGCCCCATTGGCGGCGTTCCTGAGCGCCTCTCGCTGCACACGGCAGGCTGGGCGCTGCCTGGCGCGTCCAGCGCTGTGCCCCCACACAGCAGGGGATGAAGACGTGACTCTTGCACTCAGAGGCGGAAAATGTCCTGCTCAGCTTAGCCTCTCCCTCCCCCAAGATGGAAGGACACCTGGAGGGGCAGCTGGCCAGGAACAGAGTCGTGCCCTGCTTGGAGGCAGGTGTGGTGGGCAGAGAGGAACTTGGGCATGATGCTTCCCCCAGGTGTGTGGCTTTCGAGGGGGCTTGGCCTCTAGAGGGCTCCCCTCCACCTGGAGCTAGGGGTCTCTCTGGGGCTCAGGAGGACAGCCCTCCAGTTGGGCAAGCCTGGCAGGCACCTGCAAAACTGAGAGCTACGGAGCCGCTGCTCCAGGGCTCAAGGCCAGGCGGCGCTAGCCCCAGCTGAGAGGTCAGCTGCTGTTCGCTGAGTATGTCCTATGGGCCTGGCATTTCTCGCTGAATCTTCACAGCAGCTTTGCGTGGTGGAGGTGACTGGCTCCAATGTAAAGACCAGCACCTGAGGTGCCGGTTACTCTCCTGGGGGCTGAGTGCGTCTGGCCCCTCAGGCCGGCCTCCCCTACACACATGGCAGGGCGGCTGCCACCTAGAGGCAACATCTGGGCCAGAGCCCCCCCCTCCCCAAGCATCAGGTCGCTGTCCCACACGGGCTCCCACAGCGGGCGGGCAGGCAGGCGGGGCGAGGGCTTCCAGGAGCACGGTCACTCCTCTCAGCAGTTGAGGAGCAAGAGAAGTCTCATGTCTGCCTAAGACACAGCCTAGATTTCACGGGACAAACCAGCTTTCATATGGTGTCATTCTTTTCAGAAAGGCATTCTATTTAATGTGACATTTATTCCTTATAGGGTGTTTTTGAGCTGTTTGATAGCCTTTCAGAAGATATCTCCCAATTTGAGGGGTCCCTGTATTGCAGCCTCTGGGTGGGATTCCGCAGCCCACGGAGCAGGGACCCCGGGCAGGCGGCACCAGGCTCCCACCCTCTTACTGCACATGGGTAAGGCTGGCTGTCTGAGGGCTCGGTGACCAGGAGTGGTGTCAGCCCCTAATACTGGTGTCAGTCCCCATACTGGTTTCTGCCACTTACTGAGTGTGGTTTACACATGGAGACCTGCTGCAAACCTCACGGCAACTCTTGCTGCACCCCTGCAGGCAGGAGCGAATCTGACTTTACGGAAGAGAAAACTGAGGCTCAGAGAAGAGAAGAGCCTGACCCAGCACTCGCAGAAGTTGAATGGCAGGACTAAGAGGACTGACCTAGACTGGTCACCTGACTCTATTGTCCTCATGTGTCAAGTGGAGGCAGCTAACAGCTGAACAGTGGCCAGACCCTGGCAGAGGGAGCAACTGCAACTCTTGAGGCCATCGGGCTCCTCCTCCTCCCTCCCCACCTGTGCCCCTGGCCCTCTCCTGTTACCATCGGCTTCTTGTACTCGTTGGGTTTGATGCAGCGGATGAAGTAGGGCTGGCAGTTGGTCAGGATTTTCATCAGTTTGTCCAGGGACTGCTTGAATTGGCCTGCCAAGGTGGAGGGCCGCTTGGCTGAGTCTGCAGACTGCGGATGGAAGCACAGGGCACAATTAGGGCCCAGGGAGTGCCACCTGGGACATGGCCAACCCACAGCACAGGGAGGGCGTCTGCTAAGGCCCCGCAGGCAGGGCATCCATCGGTCCATCCGCCTATCCACCCACTGTCACAGGTTTCCCCAGGCACCGAACTGCATGCTGGGGACCCAGAGGTGAGTAAAACATCTGCCTGTCCTTGTGGCCCTCAGGGCTGAGAGATGCAGGAGGCCTTGGGGGTGCCCGGGAGCCCACCTTGAAGAGCTGGCTCCCTGCCTTTGCCTGGCGGATGGTCCCGTGGCCCAGCTTGGTCTCTGCCGACTCCAGATTGAATATTTCCCTCAGGAACTTGTTTTTGGAGGAGTAAACCAGGGTGAGGATATCCGCGCTCAGCACATCTCGGTTCTTCTCCAGGAAGCCTGTGGGGACAGCACGGCCCACCCTCCAGCCCAGCCCAGCCATCACCACAACCCACTGGGAAGAAGAGGGCAGTGGGGTGGGCGCACAGGATGCCTAGAGGAGCCCCAACCCTATGACAGTCCCACTGAAGCCAATGTTCTCTGCCCCCCACCCAGGCACGGCCCCACCATCTCTGCCCAGCATCAGGTTGCTTCTACTGTCTGAACTGTCAACTCCCAGACCCCATCTCCACTCCAGCCCCTCATCTACACCACCATCATCTTCCTGCTCTGGGACCTTGGGAGGTCCTGCTAGGGCTGGAGGCCCCTCTGGCCTGAAGGCTGAGCCTCCGGAAGTGGGGAACGGACAGTGTTATAGGCTGAATTGTGTCCCCCCAAATTCCTATGTTGAAGCCCTAACTCCCTATACATCAGAACATGACTGTAGTTGGAGACAGGGCCTTTAACAAGTTGATTAAGGAAGAAATGAGACCATTAGGGTGAGCCCTAATCCAGTATGACCAGTGTCATTGTAAGAAGAGATTTGGACACAGACACAGACAGAAGGTGATGTGAGGACACAGCCGGACAGATCCCTCAGAAGGGACCAACCCTGCCTACACCTTGCTCTCAGACTCCTAGCCTCCAGAACTGTGAGACAGGAACTTCCATTGTTTAAGCCGGCCGGCCTGTAGTGTTTGTCACTGCAGGCCTAGCAGATTATGCAGGCATGGCTCCAGGGGTTGAGAAGATCCCACTTCTCCCCTCTAGCCATGGGTAAGCATGGCCTAGCCCTGGAGTAAGGACAAAGTCACACTAAGAAGGTGTTGAAGGTGAACTGCTTCCCACAGTCAGGTTAGATGGGACCAGGGACTGCACTTCTTGGTCGCTGAGGGCTGACCCCCCAGGGCACAACCTTGACTTTCTTCTTCCACTCTGCCCCCTTTAAGTCTCCCCACCTTTCAGTGGCATGCTCTGTGCACACCTGCACAGCCTGTATGGGTCTGGGGAGGCTGCGTCAGGGTGGGAGAGGGAAAGGGAGCCTGTTTCCCACCTCTACCTGCAGGTTCCTGTGAGGGGAGCAGCACCCGGGGAGGGAGGGCTGCACCAGGTGCTGGGTGAGGCAGACGCTGGTGATACCTTGCACCTCTGAGATCAGACAGAGCCTCCCCCCACCTGGGGCAGGGAGCTCCTTGGGTGTTCTCAGGGCGAGGGGAGGCTGAGGCACTCCTGGACTTAGTCTCCAGCAGGCAGAGTAAGTGCAGCTAGGTCATCAGCATACCAGGGCACCCCAGGTAAGAACCAGAGGCTAAGTTTAAATGGATATTTCCAGCATTTTGCAATCAGAAAATCTAGAAAGAAGCTACCTCAATCATAGCATACATATAAGTTTCATGTCACTTCACAAAACAAAATGTGGCTTTGAATTGCCCAGGGAGGTTGGGGGATGAGCTCAATGTCTTCTTGTGTCCTGAGACCCTGCAGGCCCCACCTTTTTGGCCTGTCCCTTTCTGTAGAGCCCAAAGCCAGGATCCGGCAGGAACTATGCAGCCGCTGCCCCGTTTCTCCCCCAGACCTCCTGACACCTTGTCTATTCCACATGAGTGAGCACCCCTGCACACAAGGCCAGGCCTGATCTGAGCCTCCGTGCTGGGAGAGAGCTGCACGCCAGTAGGACAGGTCCCAGGCAGGGTCATCGCAAAAGTTTTGGAAATAATAGAGACAGAGAAATAACTGAGACATAAACAAAGTATAGTTTAAAGTGAGGGGGAGTCAGGGGTCTTCCAGCATTCCAGTGAGCTGTGAGGCCGTGAGTGAAGTCTCACATCAGTATTTATTGGCACTAACAGCAATTAGTTGTTAGTGGTTACAGATTTATGTGTACATGTAATTTGTTTAGGTTTCAAGGCTCCCCACAAGTTTCTAGAGTTCCCTTAATTAATTCTACCTATGTGAGCAATCAGTTACAAAATTTTTCTAAGATAAATTTCTAAGTCCCAAGTTAAGAGTAGACCTAGCTGAGTATGTAAGTTAAAGATAAAACTGTCGGCGGGGCGCGGTGGCTCACGCCTGTAATCCTAGCACTCTGGGAGGCCGAGGCGGGCAGATTGCTTGAGGTCAGGAGTTCGAAACCAGCCTGAGCAAGAGCAAGACCCTGTCTCTACTATAAATAGAAAGAAATTAATTGGCCAACTAATATATTTATATAGAAAAAATTAGCTGGGCATAGTGGCGCATGCCTGTAGTCCCAGCGACTTGGGAGGCTGAGGCAGTAGGATTGCTTGAGCCCAGGAGTTTGAGGTTGCTGTGAGCTAGGCTGATGCCATGGCACTCACTTTAGCCTAGGCAACAAAGTGAGACTGTGTCTCAAAATATATATATATATATATATACATATATAACTGTCAATTAGCAGAAAAGCTAAACAGAAATATAGAGGCTATATATTTCTTTATCTAGTTTCTCATTAACTGAGACATAGGGTCAGGAGGGAAGCAGGAACTGTCCTTGGAGCTAATTGGTTTCAGCTGCAGGTGTCTGCTGGGCTGGCATTCTTAGATCAGTCCTTAACCTGTGACCGCATGCGGAGCTCTGTCTTACACAAGCATCTGGCGCTGACCTTCAGGTCTGGAGACAGGCGTTGCCTTGCATACGCTCCGACCAGTGAGGTGCCCCTCTGTTGCTAGGCAGCTTCTGGTCTGTGAACTAACACACTCACAGATTCCTTCAAGGCAAAGCCCTGCAAAATTCCTGAAACCTTACATGTCTCCTAGTCCTATCTTCCAACACCTCCAGTTAAACAGACCAAAGCACCTCCTCATTTCTCCACACGAGGTGCAGAGAGTAGCCCTCCGGCCACACAGCCTTCCTGTCACGGCAGCACACTGGCCACCCTTCTCGCTCTTCTAAGCACACCAGGCCTCTATTTCTCAATCAAAATCATTAGTGAGCCTCCCTCAACACATCCCAAACTTAAAATAAGTCAAAGACCTAAATGTAAAAGCTAACACTAAAAAACTCTTAGAGGAAAACATAGGGGTAAACTTTCATGACCTTGGATTTGATAGAAAACTCTTAGATATGGTATAACAAAAGGAAAATAGCTAAGTTGGACTTCTTCAAAATGAAGACCTTTTGTACTTCAAAGGACATTGCCAAGAAAGTAAAAAGACAATGAACAGGATGAGAACATATTTATAAATCATATCTCTGATAAGGCTCCAGAATATATAAACAACTCCTACAGCTCAACAGTAAAAAGACAAATAGCCCAACTAAACCATGGGCAAAGGATTTAAACAGATATCCCTACAAAGAAGATATACAGATGGCCAGGAAGCACATGACAAGGTGCTCAACATCATAGCCATCAGGGAAATGCAAATCAAATCACATTGAGACACCACTTAGAATCCACTGGGATAGCTGTAATTGAAAAGACAGACGACAACATGTGTGGCAGGGATGTGGAGGAATCAGAACCCTCATACGTTGATAGTGGGAATGTAAAATGATGCAGCTACTATGGAAAACATTTTGGTGATTACTCAAAAAGTTAGACATAGAGTTACTATCTGACCCAGCAATTCCAGTGCTAGGTGCATACCCAGGAGACCTCACAGATTCCTTCAAAGCAAAGCCCTGCAAAACTCCTGAAACCTTACATGTGAAAACATATGTCCACACAAAAATTTGTACATGGATATTCATAGAACTGTTATACATAATAGCCAAAAAGTGGAAACAAACCAAACGTCCATCAACTAATGAAAAGATAAAGTATGGTATATCCATGCAATGGAATATTAATCTGCAATAAAAGGTACTGACACATGCTACTGCATGGATGAACCTTGACAATATTATGCTAAGTGAAAGAAACCAGTCACAGAATCCCAAATATTGTATAGTTCCATTTGTATTAAATGCCTAGCATAGGCAAATCCAGAGAGAGGAATTAGTTGTTGCATAGGGTTGGGGAAAACGGGGAGTGACTGCTAATTGGTAATTTTTGGGGGGTGATGAAAATGTTCTAAAATGGTGGCAATCATAAATATACACTATGAATATACTAAAAACCATTGAGTTGTACACTTAAAATGGGTGAATAAATATGTGAATTATATATATTCACAATTATATATAAATTGGTATGTGAATCATATCTCAATAGAGTTATTACCAAATAGTAAAAAAAAAATGCCCAGTCTATCTTATTTCCTTTCTCCAATAAAAGCCACACTACTCATTCTTCTGTCCCATTGCTAGGTCTGCAGGACAACCTTGTGCCTACTTTCCATGGCCCCCCTGGAATCTGATCCAGATTTGGAAGGTGTGAGAGGGGCTGTACTCACCTTCTGCCTGGTAGTACACCTCGCCGGCAAAGTGGGCAATGCCAAACCTGGCATCGTGGATATTCTTGGGCTGCAGAAAGGCCTTGTTGCTGGCGTGGACACTGTTCAGTTTCTGCAGCATGGTGATGTCTGTCCCCTGGAAGAACCCAGATAGACACCTATGGGCTGAGGCCCCAGAGTCCAGCCACAGGCTCAGGGGCTTAAAGCAACCTGGGCTCAGAATGACTGAGGGCCTCTCCACAGGCAGGAGACTGACACGCAGGGGTCAGTGACTTATGGAGGTGGGCAAGGGCTGGGCTGGGAGCAGAGGCCACCAGCTGTCCTGCTCTACTTCGTACAGCTGGCTAGCTACCCCAGCAGTCAGGGAAGCCTTCCTGCAGGAGGTGGGCCTGAGGCAGTCTTGAAGGGAAGGAGGGTCTGGTTGGGCTAGGGCTCTTCTGCTTATTCTTGGCAGAGCTTTTGGCAACTCCAGGAACAAGTGGGCCACTCACATGGAGTTTCCCAACCTTGAGGAGGACACCCACGAGCAGGGGTCTCCATGTTAGGGTTGGCAGATGCACACCTGTGGGAAGCGGCTCTCTTCGTCCAGAAGTGAGATGATGCTCACAGGCTTGAGGGCCAGCAGGTCGAGGGTGGGCCGATTGTCAGTGTAGCGGATGTAGTCCCAGTCAATGCCCTCTGAGCGGTACTCCTCCTGCTCCATGGTGAACACGTGCTGCACGAAGAACTGCTGCAGGTGCTCATTGGCGAAGTTGATGCACAGCTGCTCAAAGCTGTGGAGGCAATGCCACCGCCCAGGGTGGGCAGGGCCAGCTTGGGCCCCTGCAGCAGGCTGGAGCCCTGGGATCACCAGCCACCCCTGCATGACTGCATGCATATGTGCCCAGAGATGCACATCGTGCAGCCTCTGTATACTCCCAGCCACACCTCCCCACACACCCTCCCTTCTCTCTCTGCCTCTGGTACTGTCACCTCCTCCACTCCAAGGCAAAAAGACTAAGAGAAACGAGAAGGCTCAGCATGTCATCAAGTCCTTGCCTTTGGCTTCTTGTGATCCTGAGAGGAAAATGCAAGCTCCCGCCACATAGCAGAAGCAGAAGCAGTGCTAGCCTGGAGTGGTCAGCAGAACTGTTACAAAGTAGGTTAAACAAGTACCAAGATAACTACTTGGTAGGATACGGGCCCAGGATACGGGCCCAGCGCCCATGCCTTGAAGTGGCTAGCTCAGATAGGCCCTGACTGCTCTGGTGATGCTCTGACTGTCCTAGTGCCCTTGGGCTAGCTGTCACACTAAAACCTCTGCCTGGTGGAGAAGTGTACCATTAACATAACATAGGTTGTGAGACAACACATGATAATGGCACTTGCTAGGTCTGTTTCACTGTGAACATACGATGTAAGAGCTGCGTGCCCTCACGGGGAAGGGATTCAAGACGACATCACAAGTGGCAGGTGTGGACTCTGCATGCAAGAAGGCTCCGCGGAAGGAGTCCTGTGCTGTCAGGAGCAGGTGCCTTGCGAGGAGCCTCTAAAACTCGCCTAAGCCGTCGGCCGGACTCGTCTGAGTCCTTCGCAGAGATGGAGTCTCTCAGCTCCATCTCAGTCTGGGTGATGGTTTTTCTAGACTGTCCCGGGATTTCCCAGAACAGATCCCCTGCAGGGTCCTCTGCCAGGCCTGCCTGTCCTGTCACTGAGACCACCCTTGTGGGGGTGAGGGCACATGACAGCCCCAGCCCCATGGGTAAGGTGACCTCGGTGTTGATACAAGCTTCCAGAGACCCAGGATTGACTGCCTGGCCCCTCTGCATGGACCAGACATACTCCCTACCCCACCCCCAGCCCTCCAACCTGCTCTCCGTCCTGGCTCCCTGCCTTGGGAAGGCCCTGCACCCACCAGCCCGTTGCAAGTCAGAGACGGAGGCATCATGCTTGGCAGCTCTCTGTGCCTCCTCCCCAGTTCCTATCCGCTGCTGAAGTCTGGCGCATGCTATCTCCAACACAAAACCCGACCCCCCAACTCCCCCCCACCTGAGTGCTGTCTCCTCTGCTCACTGGGCACTCACGGCTCTGCCCCCTCCAGCCTCGCCCCACCTGTCACTCTCACATGGCCACTAAGGGGAACTTGCTGATGTGCAAATCTGGTCACACTGTTCCCTGCTCCAAATCCTCCGGGCTTCCCTTGTCTTCAGCATCCAGACAGTGACCACCACAGAAGGCCCTGCCCGCCTCTGCAGCTCCACCCTTGCTGCTGGGGACTCCTCACAGCACTCCAAGGGCACCGGCTCCCTCCTCCCTTGCCTGCACGCTGGGGCGCCTGCCCTCCTGCCCAGTCAGCAGGCTACCTGTGCCGTCTCTGGGTCTGCCCTAGGTGGAGCCTCCTCAGGATGGTCACCCAGTTAGGCAAGACCTCGTCCTACTTCCCGCTGTTTGTTCAATGTTTCTTAATCTGAGAAGCGAGGGGATATGCCTGCTGTGTCCCCCACACCAGCGTACTGCCTGGAGCCGCTCAGCAGGCCATGCAGAGCGCGCGACTGGGAGGGACCCAGTGCAAGAAGCCCCTCCTTCCGGGCGGGCGCCCAGGCTGTCGCCCAGCACAAACCTGGCAGGTGGCTCCTGGTGGCTGCTGGCCTTCCTTCAGGGAGGGGTCCCCGCATACATGGTCCCATCTTCCAGAACCAACCCCTGATCCACCTCCGAAGAGTCCAGTGTGCATGGTCAGCTCACCTGTCCCTCCCAGGGCTCGACACCAATGCCCTGAATCCCACTCGAGTTCCCCACGCCTTAGGCTACATCCTGCCAGCCCTGCTGCCCCCAACCTGACCGCAGTGCGCAGGCCCCTGGGAGGCTGAGGTCCCAGCCTGCCTGAACTTGAAATGGCTATGTCTCAACAATCCTGGCTCTCCCAGGAGGCCGTCTAAATCACTCCCAGGTGACACTTCACATGCAGACAGATCCTTGAGCCCTGGGCCACCAAGGTCAGGCTGGCTCCTAGGCTCCTCAGACAGTGCCCAGAGGCCTCTGCTTCTTGGGGACATGGGCCCAGCCTCTGCCCCTCCATGCCTTTTAAATGAACCAGGCTCAGGTGAGCTGGACTGCGTCCGGAACGCTGCCTGCCTGCTTGCCCACAGTCCTCATTTGACACTCCTGAGGCACGGCGGTGCCCGGCTGTTGCCTGGCCTGGTGTGGCTCCCTCGGCACCCTTGTCTGCCCCACCCCCGGCCTCTACTACGGTCACATCTGGTGGCAATTTTCTGACTTGCCTCCAGGTTACAGCTCTTCAGCGTCCAGTTTGGGCTGCTTGACACTAGGTCAGAGAAGTCCTGCCTCACCCACCACCTGCCTTACCCACCAACTAACGTGAGGATGGTCCACAAACGCCCCCACACTCCACTCCCTGTTATGATAGCCCACCCGAAGTTGCAGCCAAATCATGCTTACTGACTTCCATTTTCACCCTGACCTCATGTGACAGTTCACTCTGGTTCATGAGGAGAGCAGATGGCTCAAGAGGAGTGACAAGGGGTCTCTCTTGGGGATGGCTTTTAACTCTGTGGCCTCTCTAGAGGTGCTGGAGAACTGTGGACAGGCATGGGCTGCCTCGTGCAGAAAGACCTGGGCCTGCTCACAGACTCGTCCTGGCCTGGGCAGGGGCACCCTCTAGCTCACTCAGTTACAGGAGAGCGGGTGGACTGAGATTTTAGATCTTCATACCTATTGTTCTGGAAATTTTCAAAGCCAAATATGTCCAGGAGGCCAATGGCTTTCCACACACTTTTGGGGTCCTGGGCAGGAGGCATGAAGATTGCGGTGTTGATCTTCTTGACGATCCACAGGAACAGGTGCCCATAGATGCCCTGGGGAGACATGGGGTGAGGCTCCAGGCTTTGAGGCACAGGAGGAGGCTGCCCTTCTCCAAGTTCACCTGGAGAGACTATGTGCAGAACAGACATCACAGACCTGCTGAGGGATGTTATTCCTATGCTAGAAGCAAGAAACTGAGGCCAGAGAGTCTAGGAAGCCCAAGGTCAGTGGGCAAGTGAGCAGTAGGGTTGGGACCTGCCCAGTGATCTCTGCTCCTTCCTGCTCGCCACCAATGGTACCAGGATCCAGGCCCTACTCCAGCAGCTCTGTACCTTGGCAAAGGCGTCCCTCCGGTCTGCTGCCTGGGTGATATTCAGGGGCCTGGTGACATACTCCCCACGGATGAGGATGGTGTGCTTAATCAGGCAGTCCTGGAGTGCGTGGTGCTGCACCTGGGAAGGCAGGTGGGGGCTGCATCGCACCTGTGGGGCAGGACTGGCCCAGGGCTCCCATCTGCTTCTGCCATGTCTTGTTCCCTCTCCTGTCCAAACACCCTATGCCCAGGCCCTGGGGGTGGGCAGTGCCCGAGACCAGGGCCAGGCTGGATCTGGGCCAGAACCAGGGCCCTGGGAGGCCTCAGGCACAGAGCATTCGGGAAGGATGCCTCAGCTCGGGGGGCCCAGTGTGCTGGTCTCCTGAGGGCTAGAGAAGGGGCTGGTGCTTTGGAAAGCTAGGGTCAGGGAGGGCTGAGGCCAGGCCTCACGTAGGCCCCAACCGAAATCACTCCTGCCTAGAGGCTGAAGGCTTAGGGCAGCAAGGGGGGTGTGGATGGCCAGGGCCTCCCCACCCTGTGGGGAGGATGGCACCGCCACGCCAAAGCCTCTAAGTACCTTTGAATCAAGTGAAGAATGTTAATAGCAAAATGTGCCTCGTGTGATTGTTTTCTCTTTTTTTTGTTTCTATTAATTTTCCAACAGAACTGTCTGTGGACGAGTTGTACCGGAGATGACCATGTCGCCAGCCCAGACTCTCCCCACCCAGCTCCTGCCGCCCTTCCTTGGTGAGCAGGCTCATGTCCTGTGGGCTGACGGGGTGTGGCGGTGACGGGAGGGCTGACAGGTTGTCGTGATGAAGGGAGGGCTCACAGGTGGGCCACAGGCTCCTCTGCTCCTCCATCGTCTCAGAATAGCACAGCTTACGGGAGGCCCTGGCACGAGGCACACTCGGGGCCATCCCGATGGGTGCTGGGTTACTGGGGGGGAGGGCCTGGATGCCAAGTTAGGGCCACTGCCCAGCAGGAGGGGACACAGGTAAAGGGAACGCCAAGCTGGCCTTCTGCTGTCTACGCAGACCGGCTGTCGCCACCCTGACGCTGCCCTCGGGGCATGGGGGTTGAGCTCAGAGCCTGGGAGCTGGGTGTGGCCCGGGCAGGGCCCCAGGAACCAGGTGCCGTGGCTCTGTCCGCCCGGCCCCTGGAGCCCTCATGAACGTGGAGGCTGGCGAGCAGCACGGCCCACCTCTAGTAACTTCACCACAGCTGGAAAGGCGGGCGTCTCCGTCACGGCTGAGGAGTCCATGTTCTCGAAGACCGCAGCTAGGGAGAGAGGCAGGAAGCCTAATGGGGAGGCGGCCTGCAGCCGGGGGACAGAGGCCCCGTGAGGCCCACCGAGAACGTCCACCCAGCGGGCGGTAGCTCGGGACCTGCATTTACCAGGCACGCCGGGCACTCTGGCTAGAAGGCGCCTGCTAACCAGAGTGGCCTCGGGCCTGGAGCCGCCTCAGCAACGTGGGGAACGCAGCAGGCATGAGAGAATGCAGACTTAGACCCCGTGAACACCGCAGCTAGAGCAGGCAAAGCTAAATGCTGCCTGGGGCCTCTGTGCAGGTAACAGAAAGCCAAGCAGAGAGCAGGGAGGCGATCTCCACGAAAGCAGCGAGGGTGCTTGCCTCTGGTGGAACGGACAGTCTGAGCACGGAAGGGCTGGGGGCTCCGGCGGGGAGGGTCTCTATTTGGCTTTAGTGGTAGTGATTTGGTGATGGCTTTATTTATTACAATAGAACTTTGTGTTTTTGCACTTTTTTTATCTGTCTATTTCACAATTTTTTTAAGTTAAAAAAACATCAAGAATGCCCCCCCCCAAGCCTGGCAGTCCGTGCTAAGGTGGACTTTGCTGCCGCAAAGAGGAGGAAGCGGAAGTGGAGAGTCGGGTCAGGAGATGTCACAGTGGCGCCGGCCCGTTAGTGCTGGCTTCCTGCGACTGAATGAATGAGTGCGTGCCCACGTGTGGGGGCACACTGACTGAAGGAGGCCGGGTGGCTCGTCCTCCAGTGCCAGTGCCTCTCGTGTCCCCAGTTCACACGTCTCCCCCCCCATGGGCCCACATTTCTTCAAACTCCCCTCACCCGAGGGCCCTGGTCTCCGCAGGCGGAGGGCCACTGTCTGCCACATCCGTCTGCAGTCGAGGACCTGGGAGGGCACGGCCCACACCCGGGCAGTGGGCGCCGATGGCTGGATTTGTGATTGCTGCAGAGACTCCCTCCTCCTCCTGCACCCACCCCCCCACCCTTCCTCCCCGGGGGCAGAGCCAGCATTACCCATAAACTCCACGTTCCCCAGGTGGAGAATGGCAGCCAGCAGCTTGCTGAGGTCCCAGTTCTCGGAGTCAGAGAACTGGAGGATCTTCATGGCCGAGCGGACGTGGGCATAGTCCTTGGCGTCGCTGAACCCATCGCAGGAGGTGCAGTTCCCCTGCGGGACAGGGCACAGCAGCTCACGGGCCGCCCACACCCCACCTCCTCCATCCTGGGCTGGCCGCCTCTGGGACGCAGCCAGAGGCCCCTGAGAAGTCACACTTCACAGGCTCTGGGTGGGCCCCGCACGGCCACATCAAGGCCCGAGCTCAGAAAATACATAAAGCTCTTCCAGAGGCACAATCACACTGGCACGGCCACAGCGTGGTGGCCTTGCAGCTGGCACTGGCACTTGGCCACTCGGGAGCTGGGCCAAGCCATTCCAAGTCCCTGAGCCTCTATTTGTCATCTGCTGGTACTTGAGCCTGCCTTGTCTCTGGAAATAGTGTGGGCTCATTCCTTTAGCAAACACTTCCCAAGGCCACTGGTCCCAGCCTGTGCTTCTTCCGGGATTCAGAAATGGGGATGCCAGCCCCGCCCCGGTGCAGCGCGTCCATCCAGGAGGGCAGGAGGGAGGGGATGACCACGTCATGGGCTGTTACAGGTGCCCAGACTGAAGTGGCCGGGACCAGCCCTGTGGAGAAGTCGGGAACGGCGTCTGGAGTAGGGGGGCCGTGGGGGAAAGGCCGTGAGGCAGGAGGCAGGGCAGGCCAAGAGTAGGCTGGGATCAGCTTTGAGAAGGGAGAGGCTAGAGAAGGGTCTGATCAGAGGGGCTTGGAAACCACACCCAGAAGCTTGGACTTCTACCCCACACCCCACAGGCCACAGGCCACTGCAGCGTTGTCATCAGAAACGTGACACCATCAGATTCGCACTGTGGGAAGAGCCTTTTGCTGCTGGGCGGGCGACGGATTAGAGGGCAACACTAGCAGCAGGGAGACCTGTGAAGACATCCCCGCCGCCTCGGGCCAGGCGGGGCTGGTGAAGGCCTTGGGGCAGGGACCCAGGGAGATTGTCACCTGGGAGAGATATCCCTAGGCAACCATGTCCTCTCCCTAGCATGAGCAGTGGCTGCTCAAGGTAGTAGGTGCAGCCAAGAGAGAGCTAGGCCCTGCTTTCTGTAGCTTATGTTCTAGGGGCGCCTACAGGGACGGTGATCAGAGTGAAATCAAGGCATGACCCACTGAGCACCAGGAGCCTGCCATCCAGCAGGAATCAAAGGAACATGAGGTTTGTGGGGAAGGACCAGGTCCAGCTCGGGGCAGGGGGTACACGTGACAGCAGGGGTGAGGAGGCAGAGTGATTCCAGCACAAAGGGCTGGTGGGGAGGAAAGGGGGACCCCAGCTCCACCCAGGGAGCTTTTCTGCAGCTGTCATCCAGGGCCCTCCTCCTTCCTTCCCCTTGGTGGCTGAGAGGGAAGCTCACCATGGTCAGGTAGTGGTACTCCGAGGGCATCCCCAAGCACAGCAGCTCCTTGTCCTCCGCACGCATCCCCAAGAGCATGCAGTAGAAGATGTGGTAGTTCCGCTCCTCTGGGGCCTGGAAAGCAGGCGTCCGGGCACACTGTGAGCAGCTCCCCTGGGGCTCCGGCTGCCTCCCGCCCAGCCCTGTCCCAGCGGAGCTTTCCTGGTCAGGTGTGACCTTGGAATCGGCCCACAGGCTGCCAGCCTCAGGCCTCCCCCTAGGCCCCCAAGACCAGCTCACCCCTGTGAACTCATCACGGCCAGATGTGCCCCGTCACGGCAGGCTGGACAGCTGCCATGCAGGGTCCGGGCCGTCTGCTCACAACCCCGCACGCATCACGGTCACTTAGTGACAGCACGAGTTACCTAGGCCTTCCTTCTATTTTTTTTTTTTGAGACAGAGTCTCACTCTGTTACCCGGGCTAGAGTGCTGTGGCGTCAGCCTAGCTCACAGCAACCTCAAACTCCTGGGCTCAAGCGATCCTCCTGCCTCAGCCTCCCGAGTAGCTGGGACTACAGGCCTGAGACCCCCACACCAGCTAATTTTTTCGTTTATTTTGTTTCTATTTTTAGTTGACTGGCTAAATTTTCTTTTCTATTTTTAGTAGAGCCAGGGTCTCATGCTTTCTCAGGCTGGTCTCAGACTCCTGACCTTAAGTGATCCACCTGCCTCGGCCTCCCAGAGTGCTAGGATTACAGATGGGAGCCACCGCGCCCGGCCTCCTTCCTTATATTTTAACAATATTTATAAATACATTCTCATTATAAAAATCCAAACAATCTGAAGTATATACAGTAGTGTTAAAAGATGAGTGTTTCTTTCCACCCTACCTTCCCAGCCTCAAATTCCCTCCCTGCCTTCCCAGAACAACTCAAGGGTCTGTGTTCATTTCTAGATATTTTAAATGCCTTTACTTATAGTATATCTATAAATAGTTCTTTCTTTTTTCACAAAAACATATCTTTGTTCTGCAACTTCCTTTTTTTCCGTTTAAACATGTCTCTTGCGATCCTTCCACATCAACACAGACAGGCCTCCTCCTTCCTAACTGTGCCTGGCATCCCATAGCACAGATATGCTGTAATTTTTAAATCTGTCTCTTAACACAGACAGAGCTGGTTTCTCACCTGCTTTAGAAATTTCCTGCCCATTTGGGGGTATCATTTTGGGTGACAAGTTCTATGAATTCACCAAGCACTGTGTGAAGAAGTAAAAGCTGCTGGAAAGCGCAGACTTTGGAGCCTGAGGGACTGCCACGTTCTAGCTCCACGGCCCTGGACAAGCAGCCTAACTTATCTGGATGCAGTTTCTTCATCTGCACAGTGGGGATAAGGAGATCTACTTCTCATAGTTGTAAAGATCAAATGAGACAATACAGGGACATGCCTGGCACTGGGTGGGAGCACTAAGCATGAGCTTCCTTCTCAGCCGTCCACAGTGCCACAGTGTCTGTCTACCCTCACGCACACCCCAGCCCCTCTGTTGGTGGCGTGCCCCCCCAAACCTTCCTGTGTGTGTGTGTTCTCGCATGCATGCACATGTTAGGTGTCATATCATCACTCAAGAGCACCCTCACGTGCAGGGGTGTTGTGTTGTTGTGGGTGCCACACATTGGAGTCCCTGCCATTTGGGATTGGCTGCACGACTGGTTCAGTGCAAAACTAAATCGTGGGGCCTTTAGCTAAAAAGTTAGTAAGAATTTCAAGATGGCAACAGCAGAGCATTAAACCAAACGTGGGCCCCTTCTGCACACAGGCCGGGGTGACGGCCGGCACAGGCCACGTGCCACCACATTCCCTGTCCACGGGCCTTTTGGACACTATTATCCACCTCCCCTGCCATGGGCCTGCAAACTGAAGACACAGCCCTCCCTCAGATGGGAACTAGCCCAGCCTCAGAGTCAATTCTTGTGGAGTTGAGCAGTGGTAGCACCAAGGAACGAATAAAACTGTATGGATGAAAAATCCCAAACTGAGACAATCCTATCACTTGTCTTCCTGGAATACTGGAGAGGGACCACCATTGTCCAATGAGGGCTGAGGGGAGGAGTGAGAGTGGTGGAAGGGGACCCCTCTTGGAAGCCCCCCAAGCCCCCGACTCCCATGCTGGCCGCGTGGAGGCCTCACCTGCCGGCAGACGCGGGACTTCTCCAGGAGAAACTGCTCGATGCGAGCGCCCTCAATCACCCCGCTGGGGTTGAAGTAGATCTCGATGTACTTCCCGAAGCGGCTCGAGTTGTCATTGCGGACTGTCTTGGCGTTTCCAAAGGCTGAGGGTAAGTGGGCAATGGCCATGATGGGGGCAGAGAAGAGAAAATTTACTTTAAGGGGCTTGTCTGGGAAGGCTTCTCAGAAGAGGCAGCCAAGCCCAGAAGTGAAGGATGGCTAGAGCTGCACCAGATGGTGGCGGCTGCCAAGGGCATGCTCAGAGGAAGGACAAATGCAGGCTCCAAGGCCAGAACACATGAGGTGCACTTGCAGGGGGGAAAGTCGGCCAGAGCTTAGGATGCAGGAGGAAGGCAGTGGCAGGTAGACAGAGCTAGTTAGGAGGTGGGGCCCATGTCACCAAGCCTCGAATGCCAGGCTCAGAAGTTGGGAATCAGCTCTGCCGGTGATGGGGAAGCAGGGAAGCAAGAGAGTGTGGGAGGAGATTCCCAGAGGGTTAGAAAGGTGGCTCAGCCTGCAGGGTAGAGGCTGGGATGCAGTGGGTAAGCTTGCAGGGGAAGTGGCGAGTGCTGGCCTGGGCCAGGTCATAGATGAGGTGGTCAGATCAGGAGGTGTTAGAGTTGCAGCATGATCCAAAAAAGTGTTTTTCGTAAAGCTGTTTCTGCAAGCTTCTCTTATGTGATCCACAGTAAGAGAGATATTTTGCAACATGTCCTGGTATATACACACCCCCACCTGCACACACATAATTAAAACAGAATAGTACCAGTTCTTAACAAGGCAGGGGGTTGGAGTATTTTCATTTTATTTTCTTTCATCGCTTGCTTTTTTTTTTTTTTTTAATATGCCACAATTTTTATTGCAAGGTGGCCATTTTTGTGAGGGTGGGGAGTCTGATCTCAAAACAATGTTCCATTTAAGGCCCTTTTATACAGAAATTGCCATCATGACTGATATTCAAAGTATCTTTAGTGTTGCAGGATGCACATGGTAAACATAAACCTCCTATACTTACTCAGTAGTGTACACACAACAGAAAACAAAAAGGCATTAATAATAGCTATTTCTTTTAAGATATGCAGGTAACAGGAATGAACACTGAGGTACTAGGATAAATTGATGACACAGTTAACAAAACTTAATTGGGGCCGGGCGCGGTGGCTCACGCCTGTAATCCTAGCTCTCTGGGAGGCCGAGGCGGGTGGATTGCTCGAGGTCAGGAGTTCGAAACCAGCCTGAGCAAGAGCGAGACCCCGTCTCTACTATAAATAGAAAGAAATTAATTGGCCAACTAATACATATAGAAAAAATTAGCCGGGCATGGTGGCGCATGCCTGTAGTCCCAGCTACTTGGGAGGCTGAGGCAGAAGGATTGCTTGAGCCCAGGAGTTTGAGGTTGCTGTGAGCTAGGCTGACGCCACGGCACTCACTCTAGCCTAGGCAACAAAGTGAGACTCTGTCTCAAAAAAAAAAAAAAAACTTAATTGGCATTCCTTTTGGAAGATTAAACTTATTACAGAAAAGTGCTTTTAATGCATAGTGTTTATCTGTGCTGCCATGTCACAAAAATAGGCTTGCCAAGGCAGGTGAGGTGTATCAGTGCTCGAGCCTCAGAGTGCAATCAAGTGGAACTTTAAATAATACTGAAAAAAGTTTACCATCTGACCAGTGGATAGTACTTTTCAAGGCATTCAATTAGCTTCCCCTTTGCAGTATTCTAAGCTATTCACATTGACAAACACATTCACTGTAGTGCTTGCTGTAGGGGAGGCATATATAACCAGTTGTTTTGGCTAAAATATAACAAGAAGGCATTCCTTAGGCTCTACATAAAAGTAACAGTATAAACAGTCTAATGGCAATCACTGATAGGCTGCTTAAATGAATGATATCTCCTTCATTCCTTGTGTTGGAAGGGCCCAGTGGAAAGGGGAATAAAACAAAACAACAACAAAAAAACAAAACCTAATACTATTCCGAGGACTGAGCTGCAGAAATGGAAGCTCCTTAAGATCCAGATGGCATTTGACTGTCATTTTATAATGGCTTTCCTTCAAGTGAAACTACTACATTGACTTCCAATTTCTTTCCAAGTGTCGAATGGTCCTTAATATCATCCAAGCCATTTACTTGCCACTCATGTTTAATATCTGTAAATTTCTTTTTAATGGTATCTTTAGAGCTAGCATAAATCATCTTGCTATTTAAAGGTGCACTTTCAGGAGCCCAGAATATAGATGCTAGGTCTTCTTTCTTAGGCTCTTTTGTCTCGCACGTGGCATCGCACAAAGCCTATCGGCAATCGTTCAGAGGCAGCGGCTTCACAGAGATGTGTAGGGTCCTCTGCAGCGTCACCAGCGTCACCCACCAAGATCTGCTTTGCTTCCTCTACAATTATTTGTCTTTTGTTATCGCTTAAACAGAAGAGAACTGCCTGCTTTCTTTTTTTGATCTCCCCTTGTGTAGATTTCCTTACTTTCAATCATTAAAAACTTTGAGGCCGGGCGCGGCGGCTCACGCCTGTAATCCTAGCACTCTGGGAGGCCAAGGCTGGTGGATTGCTCCAGGTCAGGAGTTCGAAACCAGCCTGAGCAAGAGCGAGACCCCATCTCTACTATAAATAGAAAGAAATTAATTGGCCAACTAATATATATAGAAAAAATTAGCCGGGCATGGTGGCGCACACCTGTAGTCCCAGCTACTCGGGAGGCTGAGGCAGTAGGATTGCTTGAGCCCCGGAGATTGAGGTTGCTGTGAGCGAGGCTGATGCCACGGCACTCACTCTAGCCTGGGCAACAAAGTGGGCAAAAAAACTTTGATGACTTCATCATTCACCGTACCTCCAGAAGCCATAGTGTCCACGGCGGCGGCTAGAGCTCCGGCTCTGTGGCACTGGGAGGAGGAGAGGGAAGAGGGGGAGGGGCCCATCGCTTGCTTTTTAACATAGATTTTTTTTCATTTTATTTTTATTTTGGGTTGGAGTATTTTCTATTCTTTGATATTTCATTTGCTCTCGAAGAGACTGACTTCATGACCCATTAATGGTCCAGGATGCCGTTTGGAAAGACCACATCAGCATTAGTCCCGCGACACAAAGGAGACAGTCCTCGGGGACATCAGCCTAGGAAGCACTGTGCTCTGCCTCTCTCCCGAGGAGCCCCAGCGAGCCGCAGAGCCTCCGGAAAGCGCCACCGCTATTCAGCTTATTGAACACAATGTGGCCATCTCAAAAATGACTGGCCATCTGCCTCTTTAAGAAAGAACTTGATGTGGGCAATTATTTTGCAGTAATTGACAAGTTAATTTTAAAATTTACTGTATATGGAAAAGCATAGGACCTAGAATAGCTAAGTTTGAAAAGAAGAACAAAACAGGAGGTCATGTGCTACCTGATTGTAAAACTTCCTATAAAGCTACAGAAATCAAGACAGTGTAGTATTGGTGAAAGGACAGACAGAGGAATAGGACAGAAAGGAGGATCTGGGAGTAGTCCCACACATGTGTGGTTAATTGATGTTAGACAAAGGAGCAAGTGCAAGTCAATGGAAGAAAAAAATAGTCTTTTTGACAAATAGGGCTGGAACAATTGGATATCCACATATAAAACAGGAAGGAGAGAGAGAGAGAAACAGAGAGACTACCCATAGCTTGCACCCTATAAAATTAGGTTCATAAACCTAAATGTAAGAATTAAAACTGCAGAGTATCTAGAAGAAACATAGGAGAAAATCTTCAGGTTAGGCAAAGATTTCTTAGATATAACACAAAGAGCAGGATCCAGAAAAGGAAAAAAATGAGAAATTGAACTTCATCAAAGTTTAAAACTTCTGCCCTGCCAAGGACAGTGTTAAGAGAATGAAAAAACAAGTCTCAGACTGGGATACAGTATTTGCAAAACACATATCTTATAAAGGACTTGTATCCAGAATATATAAAGAACTCTTAAAATTCATTAATAAGGAAATAAACCAATTAAAAAATAGGCAAAGGATTTGAACAGACATTTCACCCACTTCACCAGAGAAGACATGCAGAGAAGAAACGAGGACAGGAAAGGCACTCCACGCCACTAGCCAGCAGGAGACAACAGGACAGCACCCACGGGTGTCAGAGCAGCACACGGTCTCCTTGACATGCCAAGTGCCCGCGAGGATGCAGAACACCTGGAACTCTCCTACTCTGCCGGTGGGAAAGCAAAATGGCACAGCCACCTCAGAAAAGCACTGCCACTTCGTCAGTTTCCTACAGACTTAAAGGGCTAACTTACCAAATGCATATTTACCCAGGAGAAAAACATATATTTACACAAAAACCTGTATGTGAATGTTTACAGAGGCTTTATTCATAATTGCCAAAAACTGTAAACAACCCAGATGTCCATCAATCGGAGAGTAGACAACTGCAGGACCTCCGTGCAGTGGACTTCTACTTGGCATTAAAGGGACCGAGTTGTTGGTACAGGCAGCGTGGAAATGTATTACGCTGATGAGAGTAGCAGACACAAAAGGCTACTGACTGAATGATTTCATTTACATGACATTCTGAAAAAGTCAGAACTTCACGAAGGAAAAGACAAATCAATGATTGCCAGGGTCTGGGGTTAGGAAGATGGTTTGACTACAAAGGGACATGAGGGAAGGTTTTGGGATGACAGGAACATTTTATTTCATGGTTATGATGGGGGTTATGGGACTGCATGAGTTTGTTAAAACTCATAAAACTGTATATCAAAAAAGGTGAATTTTTACTGTATGCAAAGCAGGCCTCCATCCTAAAAGAACAAAAGAGGCTGTGCTGTCCAGTGGCTGACAGCCTTGGAGCTGAGGTCACAGGCTCTGGGCCACCCCCACCAGGGGCTGCCCCTGGGGTCCCTGGGGGGACAATGCAGGACTCCTCTGGGGGCAGGTTGGCCAAGACCTGGTCAGATCCGCAGGGCAGCTAGACGCTGTCCCCACGCATGCCTGCCTCCTCTCCTTCTTCCCTTCCTGAGCGTCCCAACACAGCCCAGTCTGAGGCCTGCCCGGCCTCCCGCTTCCCTCTGTGTTGTCTTCCGCAGGGGTCACCCTTGATAAACCTCCTGCAACCCTGACTCTGGCCCAGCAACTGTTTCCCAGGGGACCTACACGAACTCAAGCAGCATTTCCCAAATTTAAAAGGAATACTTTTTACAATCCTGTGGAAAACACACAGTGACAGCTTATAAATTTGTCAGTCTTTCCCTTTCATGCCACCTGGGAGCACTCCCTACCCTTGTCTTTTGTGTCCCAAGGATCCAGAGGAGTTGCTAAAGCTTCGTGGCCTACCCTGTCCTTCTTCTGGGCCCTCCTGGCCAGAAGGCTCCAGTCCACAGGCTGTGGGGGCGGGCGGGTCCCCAGGATGACGCTTACCCTCCAGGATGGGGGTCGCCTCCAGGACCTGCTGCTCAATCCACGAGTGCTGGCCGCTGATGGTGGCCAGGAACTGCAGGATGAGCTTGGTGGTCTCTGTCTTGCCAGCTCCAGACTCACCGCTGCAAAGAGGGAGTGCAAGGACGTGAGTCTAGAGGTGAGTGTTTTTCTCAACACCTCTCAGCTCTACTGCAAACCCCTCTGGGCCTGCTTTCTGGGCCAGTCTGACAAGGATGCCCTCTCCCGATGCAGAAATCCCACTGCATTTGCCCCGAGTCCCCTGTGGGTCTGCAGTTGCCTATGTTCTGCAAGTTATTAATGTGTTTGTCTTTTCTTCCTTGCTCGGCTGCAAGCTCCTTGGTACATAGCAGGGTCACAGCACACTGCCCAGTAAACACAGATGAATGAACGAGCCGACTCAACACCTTGCTAATGAAAGCACAGCCCACAGGCGGGCAGCCGACTCAGAATGCAGATGCCCAGGTCCCATTAAGCTCTGTTGAATCAGATTATGCATTTTTGATCACTGGGGAGGATCCCTACACTTTAAAGTTGCATAATGAACTCCCACTGTCCCATTACCCAGCTTCAACTCCTGGCCAATTTTGTTTCCCTTCCTGCACTATTTTGATGCAAATCCTGGTGAGATTATTGTTTTCTCTGAAAATATTACCTTTTTAAAAACTTATGGTCAAAATGTCCACCATCACTGTGCTGGCATAGCCTAGCTGGACCAACAAGCCTCCACTGATGGCTGCAGACCCCCACCGAGGGCCAGGCATTTTCACACACACACAAGCTCTCAAAGCACCCACTGGTGTAGGGACAGGAGCTTAAGGGGACTTGCTCACAGCGCTACGGGAAGCCGGGCAGCAGAATGACCCAGTGTGACACGAGTGACATTCTGTTCCCTGCCATGGGCCAAAGATCAGGGCCCTCTTTCCTCCCCCGGCAGTGCCGGGTGGGAGCAGCCTTGGGAGCTCCGCTGCAGCGAGGGGGCCCGTGTCGGGGGCAGATTGGGAGCGCCAGCTCTCTCCCAGGATGCCTCCCTGTCTTCTCCAGAGCTCTGGGTTCGGACTCGCCACTTGAGCGCTGTGTGCCAGTGGAAAACTATCTCAGCCTCTCTGATTGTAGGTCTCCCCAGCAATACCACGGGAATAAGAACATCTTCTTCAGAGGGTTGCAGAGGACACAAAATACGATTGCCTATGCCGTAGGGGTCTGGTCTCCGTGTGGCATCCCTCCTCAGAGAGGCTGTGCTGCTCTGCCCCTCTTCTGCCCATGTTTTTCTTTAAAGCTCTTAGTCCCTGCATGATAATGCGATTATTTATTCCTTGTCTGCCTCCCCTTCTAGAATGTAAGTTCCGTCAGGCAGGGATTTGGGTCCCTTTCATTTGCTGCTGCCTCCCTGTTTTAGGACAGTGAGGGGCACATAGCTAGGGCACAGTGCAGCCTCAAGGGATGAACGAATGAGTGACTCCAGAGAGCACCGAGCAGGCGCCCTGGAGCGGAATTCCCAGTCCCCTCCCTTTTCCTCTCACTGCTGCCTCCCTCCCTCGACACCAGGAGGGCTGGGAGCACAGGAGGAAAGAGGCCAGGCCAGGCGGAGTCCCTGAAGCAGAGTCAGGGCTCAGACTGCAGGGGACAAGTCTCTCTGGTCCCTCAGCGACCTGAGAGCTGCCCCCTGGAGCCACTTCTGCTGGTCCTCACCTGAGACCTGCCAGGAGACGTGTTTTTGACTGAGACCTCATCTGTTTGGCCTCTGCCACCCAAGCGCCTAACCTGGGCCCCATTCCTGAAGGAGGCTACGCCATCCTTCCTTGACCCAGTAGACATTGATCACAGGCGGGGCGCTCCGGCCGGCAGTACTGTGAAAGACCAGGTTCAGCGGGGAGGAAGCCCTGGAGGTGCCGTGGAGAAGGCGTTTGCCCTTGAATGCAGGCGTGCTGGTTGGGAGTGGTTTAGGGAGAGGGGAGGCTCCCTCCTCCGGGAGATGCCGCACCTGATGACGCAGCTCTGATCCCTCTTATTCCTCCGCATGTTGAAGTAGCAGTTGTTGGCAATGGCAAAGATGTGCGGGGGCAGCTCGCCAACATGGCGGTTGTAGTAGAGCTGCACCTGCTCCAGGGTGTAGAGGGGCAGCACCTGGAATGGGTTCACAGCCACCAGGATGGAGCCCGTGTACGTCTGGGGAAGAGAGAAGCTGGTCAGCGCCCTCTGCCCCGAGCAGAGGTGCCCAGCCTGGCCTTCGCTGCAATGCCTGAGGGCTACCAGGACCTGCCCACTCTGGTTGGGAAGACAGGCCTGATTCTGGGCCAGGGAGATAAGACGCTTGGCTGCTCAGATCTTTCCTCTGAGAAGACGGGGTGTCCACCAGGAATGTGGGCTCCTGGGGGGCACGTTCCTAGGGAGGAAGTTAGATGTTAAATGCTGAGTGCCCTGCTTGGCACTTACAAGGGGCTGTATAAAAATGGGCTGGACCTCCATGAACCAGTGCAGCCCTCACTGGTCCCAGCCGCAGTCCCATGTGCTCCAGGCCCCTAGGGACAAGCCCTGCTCTTGGGGCCCCAGTCCAGGATCAGCTGCTCCTCTGTAGCCCCTACCAGCTCCAGCGGCCCCTCTGGGGGTGGGACAGGAAAAGCCTCTGAAACAAGCCACACGACTATCTATGTCTTGGTTTTTCATTTTAGGAAAGGAAAGGTTATCCCTCTGGTTCAAGGTGTGATGGCCAAATGAAGAATGTGTGCACAAACACTTTGGAGAAGACAGCTGCCATTCGGTGTGACTTACTGCTGCTGTGAGCTCTGCCCACATTAAGCCAGAGTGACACAGGGTCCCCTACTCTCTGCCTCGGGGCCTCTGCCTTCCCCTCCCCAGGCCTCCCCTCTCTTCAGGGTCCCCAGAGCACTCTCCAACTCCTCAGAGCAGCCCAGAAGGGTGGGTCAGAGCCAAACTAGCCACCATTTCAGACCAGAGAGAGGCCAGGCAGGTGGTGACATCCCCAGGCTGCACCCACTTGGGCAGAGCACGGAGTGTGGGTGGAGCTGGTGTCAATTTGGGACAACACCTCTCCTGGGAAAATCTACATTGGAACAGGATGACAGCTTAGGGCCAGAGTGAACCTCCATCCGCTGCCAGGGTTTGGGGGAGGCGCCCCCCTCTACCCACATGGCCCCCCTCGTCTGGTTGGGACCTTGGATCCTGCCATCCCAGGACTCACTCTTGGTCTGATGACCCTGTCTTGCAACATGTCTAGGAAGGCCATCCACTCAGCCACAGATGGAGGGAAGGGGCAGCATTTATTGAGCACCTACTGTGCTGTCACTCTATATGCCAGCTTTCTACCCTCCAGGCTGTGATCATCCGCCCACCGCCCACAGTGAGGGGTGGGGAGTGGTGCTGGCGCCAAGCCATCCCCACCCAGGAGGTCAGCTCCTGTAGGGGTTCCCCTGTGGACACAGGTGGACTCACGTAGATCTTGTGCTGCCGGTAGCGGATCAAGAGGTTGTGCACAATGCCTGCTTCGTTCAGGTCCCCCAGGCGGATCATGTCATCCACACCCTGGGCTGAGTTGGGGTGCATGGGGCCGAGGGCACCAAGGTCCTCTGCTTGGATCCAGTGTTCCTAGAATGGTGGGCACAGATTCCCCTGAGGTGCAGCCGCTGTCCACATGGGCCAGCCCGCCACACCCTCCCCTTCGAGTCCTCAGCAGTAAGGCAGCACTCAGGGCCATGGATCAGCTGACCTGGAGATGGTGGCCAGTCTTTGGCCAGGGTCAGTCTGTGACAAGGGTCAAGGGACACCTGTGACAGGATGAGGTCCATCTATGGCTAGGGCCAGCACATGTCCATGGACCAGGGTCAGTGTGTAGCTGTGGCTGGGGCTGAATTTCAGACCAGGGTGGAGGAGCTTGGAGCTGGGAGATTTGGAGTCAGGTTGCATCAGGGGACCTCACAGATTGTTGTATTATAATAAAAGTGTGCAAGTAAGAGCATTTTTTAAAAACGCATTATGCAAATAGAAGATATTATTGTTATTATCTTGCTGGCTTCCATAATCTGAGACTCACAGGCCATAGTCTAGAACCTTCCCCTTGGAGGTCAAGCCTACAGCTACCTCTCTCTGCCACACCTAACTGAGCAGTGAGGATGGCCTGAGGAGGAGTCAAGTGACCAGCTGGATGCTTGCCTGCAAGCCCTGTGCCCCCGCCAGCGGAAGAGCTGGCCAGCCTGGGCCACCCTGAGACTCCGGCTGCTTACTTGTGGGGTTTTGCCCCTTTTTCCCCTCCACACACCTTCCTCACCCACCTTTCCCGCCTGCCCCCTTCACTTTGCAGACCAGCTCTCTCTCTCCCGCAAGCCCTGACCAGTCCCTTTCCCACTTTGCCCTCCCTGTTCCCTAATTCTCCTAGTTTCACCACAACAGGACTTCTGTGGGCTGTCCTGCACTCCACTCAGCCTTGGAGCACCTGCTGCCAGGAAGCAGAGCCAGAGAGGGGAGGGCACCAGGCCCTGGAGGGGAGCTCACAACACTGACCTTGCCCTCATCATCCTCAACCAAGACCTTGCCCGGCTTCGTTTCCTTGATAATGCCTCCAATGGCCACGCCAGTCTTGTTTGTGGAGGGAGGGTCCAGCCACACATGGTCACCCTGGAGGACAGAGAGGAGACAATGGTTGGATTCCCCCCTTCCCCTTCCCACTGTAGACTTACCACTTGGGGCTGTCCCTGCCAGCCCAGAGCTCCTAAGGAGGCTGGAGCTCGTGTCTCTGTCTCTGTCTCTGTCTCTGTCTCTCTCTCTTTCTCCCAGCCCAGGGTTCCTGTGAACAGGTGTCACTGGCACTTATCACCGGGCAGGTACCAGATGTGGCCTGTACAGCTTCTCTCCATGTCTCTGTCTTTTCTGGGACAGTAAATTGACCAAGAACAGGAGCTCAGGCTTTACCGCAGGACCTCTCATGAAGAAAAAGAAACACAGCCACTATTTACAGAGGCAGCATGGCTGAGTGGTTTTGAGAGCAGAGTGCTTCTCAAATTTCAGGATGTCAGCAAGAGTTGAGCTTTCCACTTCCATCATCTCAGAAATCACCCACAAGTAACTAGGAGGATGAGAAACATAAACAAACACCTCATCTGTGAAACTGGGAGAAGGCTGAACCCCTGAGCCACAGAGCAGCAGGAAGGCTGCCGGGAGATGCGGGAGAAAGCTGAAAAGGTGGTCCCAGCTGTGGATTCCAGAGAGTTCCAAAGTTAGCAAAGTTTATTTCTCTAATGTGGGGGCACATCCTGATGAATCGCTGCCAGAACAAAGGCATCAGGCAGCAGTGGAACTCCTCCGGCCTGGCTTAGTTCTAAGAAATACACCACGTTTGCAGGCTTGCCATATTTGCAGGAAGCAGTCTCTCTGTGAGGTGGAAAAAGAGAAACCTTGCCCTGTGAAAAGCCCTCCAGTCCCAAATCCATTGGCTGGGAGTAGTGAAACTACTAAACTACTAAAAACTCACATATAAGGTTTCTGCTAACCAGCAACATGATGCTGACCCCACATGAACCTCCTTCTAATCCAAGAAATCTCAGCCCATTCAAAGAAAAGTGATCCAAAAGGAACCAGCACAGGACTACAGACAAAGTCACCAAAATCCAAAAGGAAGGAATCCAAACAACACTCACCAGAAGAAAAACAATTGCCACAGAGCAGTGAAAAGTTGCGATCAAGTATTCCACCACCATCACAAAACCTTACCGAAGCACAGGCCGGAGGCCACAGAGCTCAGGAACCAGGCGGGGAGACAACTGAGAAGGCTGGGGCCTGAGTTGGCAGAGCTCAGGGAAGAAATGGAGGAAGAGAAGCAAGCACAGCCAGAACGACGGCAAAAGGGAGAGAAGAGGAGGACATTACTGGCTAAACAACATGAGAAGAATCAGAAAAAATAGGAAGGAAAAAAGTGAGCAAATGACATAAAAATTTAAAATATTAGGATTAGGAAGGAAAGGATGGATATAGAAGACAGGCAAAAATACAAATAAGTGTGCAAAGAAGAAAACTAGGGGGATAAAAAAGAGCAGAAAGATTATTTAAAGTTAGAATTCAAGGCCGGGTGCTGTGGCTTACTGTAATCTTAGAACTTCAGGAGGTGGAGGCAGGAGGATCATTTGAGGCCAGGTGTTGGAGATAAGCCTGATCCAAAAGTGAGACCCTATTTCTCAAAATATAGACAAATTAGCCAGGCATAGTGCCAAATGCCTGTAATTCCAGCTACTAGGGAGTCTGAGGCAGGAGAACCACTTGAGTCCGGTAGTTGGAAGCTGCTGAGACGCCACTGCACTCTAGCCTGGGCAACAGAGTGAGACTCTGTCTCAAAACAAAAACAAAAGGAAAAAACTAAAATACTTCAAGACAACTTTCTGGAAATTAAAGAAACCTGAATCTACAGATTGAATATGCATCAGGTACGAGGAAATAATAACCAATAAAAAATCAACTCCAGGACATGTACTAGTAAAAATGACTAGACTTTAAGAATAAAGAAGGCCGGGCGCGGTGGCTCACAACTGTAATCCTAGCACTCTGGGAGGCCAAGGCGGGAGGACTGCTCGAGCTCAGGAGTTGGAGAGCTGAACAAGAGCGAGGCCCCGTCTCTAATATAAACAGAAAGAAATTAGCCAAAACAACTAAAAATGGAAAAAATTAGCCGGGCACAGTGACACGTGTCTATAGTCCCAGCTACCCAGGAGGCTGAGGCAGGAGGATCGCTTGAGCCCAGGAGTTTGAGGTTGCTGTGAGCTAGGCTGATGCCACAGCACTCTAGCCCAGTAACAGAGACTATGTCTCAAAAAATAATAATAATAAAAGAAAGAAAGAAAAAGAATTTCCAAGCAGTAGGTAGATAAAAAAGAGAAAATTTAGTTTATAAAGAGAAAAGGCAAATTCAAATCCAATAAGAGGGATAGCAACTTCTACAAAGATCTCAAGAAAAGAGCAATCCATCCATTGGGATGGCCACTATCAAAAGAATAGAAAATAACAGGAGTTGTCAAGGATGTGGAGAAATTGGAACTATTGTCAGTGTTGGTGGGAAAGTAAAACGATATAGCCATAGTGGAAAACAGTATGGAGTTTCCTCAAAAAGTTAAAAATAGAATTACTCTATGAGCCAGCAATCCCACTCCAGATATATATGTATCCAAAAGAGTTCAAAGCAGGATCTTGAAGAACCATTTGCACACCCATGCTCACTGTAGCAACTATTCACAACAACCAAGAAGTGGGAGCAACCCAAACGTCTATCAACAGATGAATGAATTCAGAAAATGTAGGCTATACATACGATGGAATATTATACAGCCTTAAAAAAGAAGGAACTCCTGTCCTGGGCTACAGCATGGATAGATTTTGAGGACATAATGCTAGGCAAAATAAGCCAATCTCAAAAGGAGAAATACTGACTCTTTAAACTGTGTGCCCATATAACTTTTTTTTTTCCATATAACTTTGTAAAAACAAAAGCTAGATTCAAAAGAAGAGCAAGGAATAGTCACTACAGGCTACAGAAGACCAGCATGAACAACATATGGTATTTAGTGAACTAATTAAATCACATCAGAATCCTTAGAAACCTAGTAGAAGCTTTCTTACAATAAAGAAATTGCCAACAGGCCGGGCGCGGTGGCTCACGTCTGTAATCCTAGCTCTCTGGGAAGCCAAGATCATTTGAGCTCAGGAGTTTGAAACCAGCCTGAGCAAGAGTGAGACCCCGTCTCTACTATAAATAGAAAGAAATTAATTGGCCAACTGATATATATAGAAAAAACTAGCCAGGCATGGTGGCGCATGCCTGTAGTCCCAGCTACTTGGGAGGCTGAGGCAGGAGGATCGTTTGAGCCCAGGAGTTTGAGGTTGCTGTGAGCTAGGCTGACGCCACGGCACTCACTCTAGCCTGGGCAATAAAGCAAGACTCTGTCTCAAAAAAAAAAAAAAAAAAGAAATTGCCAACAAGTGAATAATTGCATCATGCAGCTGAAACAGCCGGCCAGTCACCAAAGTGAGAAGATTAAAGTTGAAGACAGACGTGACGTTGGGGTGGAGCACGGTGGCGGACGGGAAACACTGCCAGACAGAGCGTCTCTGCAGAAAACACAGATTCTAGCAGAAATTAGAAGAAAGAAGCAAGAAGACGAGCATACAGCAGATGAGGGTCAGCAGGAGGGGCACCTGAGACCACGGGAGACTCCACGGGAGGAGGTTGCGGAGGAGAACTGGAAGCTGAGACCGCCGGAGCAGCCCGGAGACCAGCAGGAAGGGTAGGTGAAGAGGTTAACTTTCCCTTCCCCTGCATCTGGGACTGCAGGTGGGCTCCCCAGCGGGTGGAGAGACCTGCAGACACCAGTCCAGAGACGGCCGCCGCCAGTGAGCAGTGAGCCTGTAGCAGACGCGGCACCAGGCTCCCAACTCCCTCGGGGCACCTCCGTGTGCACAGACCCCAGCCCCGCAGCAGGCGCCATATTGCCTCCTCCTCCCCTCCCCCAACCCTATCCGTGGCTCTGAGAGAGACAATACAGTCACCAGCCGGAGACACCTCCAAGGAACGGGACCTTCCCTTTTGGGGCCCTACAGCTGACTGAAGGGAACTCAGACTGTGAGTTCCCTACCCGCCAGCCCTCCCAGGTGCTGTTGGCACCGTGTTCCCAGAAGAACGGGGCAGACCCTGAGGCTGAGAGACATAGACCCAGCTTGGTCTCCCTGTGGGTGAATTGGGACCGGCACTCCTCACCCTGGTGGGGATATAGTTTGAACTACCTGGGACGCCCGGGTCGGGACCTGCAGACCAGATCCCGTGCACCGAGGTCTAGCATTGCCCGGGCCACAGAAGGTTATACGGGAACACCTACTGAGGTGTGTGTGCCTCCAGGGGCAGATCAGCATCCTAGAGGGCAACCCTCCTCCCAAAAGGAGGCCGTGCCCCTAGCCAAGGTGGCGTTTCTGCACAGGGAACCTCCCCGCCGGCATCACAGCCAGGGGAGGCCTGGTGGCGTGAGGTCTGACCTGCTGGCAGAGGCCCAGGAGTAGCTGTGGAGTTGGGGACGGTGGAAAGAAGCCAAGCCCGCTCCAGAATGGGGGTCTCAGACAGCCCCACCCCTTCACCCAGACTTTCGGACTGAGCAGGGCCATTCCAGCCCCGCCCTGACAGCTTTTCCTGGAGGCAGAGAACAGAACTTTGACCCCTGCTAACAGCATTGGTGGTGCCTGAGGGCAGGCTTACCCAACCCAGCTCCACAGACTCTCTCCTAGACAGCCTCACTGAGGGGAAAAAGGACAACACTGAAGTCCAGGCCCCACCCAACACCTGAGGCACTAGAGTTCTCTCTACAGGAACAGGCTGAGAAACAGCGTGCATCAAACAAAGCGACACCCAAAAACAAGCAATCTCGCACAAGCACGAGGGAGGACACCCTGCACAAGCCTGTTCATACGGCATAACTGACTCCATACAGGATCCTGGTCGAATCTCACCACAGACAACACTACCGGCTCAGAAATAAATAAGAGACAGTGTGAATACCCAAACAAAACCTAAAGGAAAGAAGCAGCAACTGATTGACATGGGAAGAAATCAGTGAAGGAACTCAGGATATATGAAGAACCAAACGGAA